TATTTTTCAGTTATCTTTTTCTCGTTGGGCATAGTGTTGTCCAGTGGCAGGAGATAGTAAGCTTGAGGCTAGCCTGGGCTGCACAATGAGACCCAGTCAAAACAAAACTCTTTTGTGTGTTTGGTGTTGCTGTTGTGTTTTAGTTTCGGGTTTCCTTGATTTTTGTTTGTTGTTTGTTTGTTTTCGTGATCAAATCACAGGTCTTGGTTCCGTTCCCGGCACCACAAAGTTTAAACAAAAATTTACTCAGTCCTAAAGAAAGATCAGGGTAAGTGTGAATCCATCCTCAGTTTAGTCCCACCTATCACATGATGGTTTTCCCTGAGCCCAAGCCTAATGGTCCCAGGGAGCCTTGTTCTCCATGTTCAGCTGGTTGGGTGCTCACCTCTAGCCTGCTTCTAGATAACGTCATTGCTGATGTCACCCTGGGGTAGTCTGCTACAGGAGCATAGCTTATTAGGGGAGAGCAGGTAGGAGAGCAGGAAGAGAAAATTCTTCCGGTGGACAAGGTTTTGCCTAGTGCAGTTCATGTTCTGACCCCCCAAACCCTGTTTATTTGAGGCTTATCCTGGGGTAAACACAAGAACAGCTTCACAGGCAGTATCTGAACAGTATCACAGGCACGGGTTACAGCCCGTGGTTTGGAAGGAGAAAGAAGCCAGCTTGCATGGACCCCGAGGGATGAGGTCGTGGCTGCACTAGTGGGATGTGGCCACCGTGGGGCTGCCTGCCTGACTCCACTGGTCCCCAGGGCTCACGTGTGGTCCATTCTTTCTCCATCACCTCCTGGCTGCTCCCTGAGCTCATGACTAAGTGGCCGCAGTGCAGGCAGGTGGCTAACACACACATGTTCCAGATGTGCTCCCTGCAAGCCATGCATGCTTCCAGGAACAGCAGCGCGAGGGGGCCCGGGTGCCTTCCTCAGAGCCCTGCCAGACAGAGAGCATGCTAGCTGTAAGCCAAGTGTGGAGCACAGGGCTCCTAAGATGTGCTTGTTTCCATTAACTCTGCATGCTACTAAATAATAAAGCAGGAGGAATATGGGTGGGACCCAAGGGGCTTCCCTGCCACGCTCAGTCCTGAAAGGAAGTGTAGAGCACTTTGCCAACAGTGTCCCCAGAGACCACAACTCTCAGAAATGAATGTGGTCTCTATTGTTCACAGAATCAGTGGTGTAAAATGGCCCTGAGTGGTGGACCAGTGCCCTTCCCAGGTTACCTCAGAGGAGGATTCGACGCTGTTTCTGACGTACCTAAAGCATGCAGTATTGACACCGGTGCTTAAACGGAGTTGATTATGAGGGTTTGCAACTGAGCGTCCTGTTTTTCACTATCCTGCTTTCATCCCTGATGCTGTGATAAAGCACCCTGAACCCCCCCGCAGGCCAGCCTAGCCCAGGCAGGCTCTCAGTTGAGGCTTTCTTGAAGTGTTCGAGGTTGTGGCAAGTTGACATTTTAAGCAAGCTGTCACAGGCTTGGCGGGATATGGGGGGGATAGGTTGGGAGGCAGAACAGCAAGTTCCCAGAGCAACACATTCAAGTCCTTACCATGAATACTGCGAAAGTGACCTGAGGCGTGCGCAGCCTCTGCAGGTGTAGTCAGGTTATGACGGAATCACATCATAGAGTGGGGTGGACTCCACTGGTGGACCCAGGGGTCGGTCGTTTGCTTTGGGCTGGGACTCCAGGTTCCCCTCCCCTGAAAACCAGAGGCACACGGGGTCAAAAGCCCCACATTGATGGAGTCACAGAGCCACCGTGACACAGGTACCAGCCAATTAATTACAGCACGGCTGTATCACAATAAAACTTTATTTACAACTCCAGACAGCAAAGCAGTTGTTGGCAGGCCTTTGACTGAGAGGAAGAAGCAAGGAAAGATTTTACTCCAGACCTTCATAGGGAATATGTTGGCTTCTTCCACCATGTGACTCTCCGGAATTAAGCTTGGGTCATCGGGCTTGGCGGCGGGTGTCTCTACCCACTGAGCCCTCTTGCTGGGCCGCCCACTCGTTGTCAAGAATACATGATGCTTAGCTACGGTTCTAAAACCCTTTGGCAGATTGTGCAGACTGCCATTCTGGTCTTCCCGCCTGGAATGCCGAATCACATACATCTTCCCCCTGGACACTCTACCCTGTCTCTACGCTCAGGGAGATTTTTTTCCCACCCTAGCTGGAATCAGTGGAGCACAGGTGACTCCAGGAGAGCGTAGGTTCTTCTCTGAAAGGTGGCTTCATAGGAACATGAACAGAACTAAGAGGCACCTGAACACACCAGCATGCATGTATACACATACATGCCCACCACCCCTGCCCGCCCTCCAAATCCCCAAAATGGCGGGAGAGTTGAAGCAGGGACCCAAGTAGCCCAGACTCTCCCTGAACTCTTATGTAGCCAAAGATGGCCCCGAACTCCTGATCTTCCTGCCTCCTCTCGCCTGCTAGGGTTACAGGCATGCTCCTCTACACATGTCTTGTTTTTGTCCTTAGTTTAGCTAGTTTTATTTTGAAAACCAGGGTCTCACTGTGTAGCCCAGGTAGGATATGAGTTCACCATCCTCCTGCCCCAGCCTCCCCCGAGTGCTGGGACTGGAGATGTGCGCCACCACACCTGGGTTAGATTGATCTGCTGTCTGTGCCCTTCAGCCAGTCCCACCAATGCCAGTTCATCTAGAATCCCATCTCTTAGTAGATTTTTGACCGCCTTTGGCTCCCATAAGGCCTGATGGTGCCACACTTGACACTGCCTTCTGCTTCTCAAGAGGAAGGTAAGTGTGGGAGACTGTGATCTCAGAGAAACACACGCCCTCCTCAGGCCCAGCCCAGCTACTGTTAGCACCGCAGCAGGGCACCTGAGCACCATCTCCTGCTGCCGCCATCATTTCGTCCCTCCCTAGTGAGGTTCATTTCTTCCCTCTCTAGCGAGGTTCCTTTCGACCCTCCCTAGCGAGGTTCGTGCCCCAGGTTTTGCGACTGACCCCTGCCTGTGCATCCAGAGGATACCGGGCAAGCTCCAGTCTGGCCTTTTCGGTCTGTAATGGGAAACACATTCTGGTTCTGGCCAGTCTTGTGGGGTGGGGTCTCGTCCAGACGGAAGTGTGGGCTGGCCATGGTACCCCTTCCCATCACAGCCTCTCCACTGCTCGTGGCAGAAAAGCAGGAATCACCAAGGCCCCTCTCGCTGCACCCCTGGTTTTCTTCCTTACCCTCGTGGCCACGCTGGCTTGATGAAAACCCAGTCTGAATCCAACCTCCGCTTGTCCCTCACGTCTATAGATCCCTCTCTGGTCACCAGTCATTCCTCTGAGTGGTTGATGGACGCCCCCTTGTCACCTGCAGATCACAAAGGAGAAAACACGGCTTCCTCACCCGGGGCGATGGCTTCTTTTTATGTGTAAACAAGACTCAAGGCCTTAGTTTGGCCTTTGAACCCAGGTCCCCTTTGACCTAGGAGATATATATATATATATATATATATATATATATATATATATATATATTTTTTTTTCCTTTTTGAGATGGGGTCTCTTGAGGTAGCTCTGGCTGCCATGGAACTGTAGACCAGGCTGGCCTGGAACTCGCAGAGATTCTCCTGCCTCTGCTGGTATTCTCCTCCCAAATGCTGGTATTAAAGGCATGCATCACCACACCAGGCCTAGGCTATACTCTTGAAAAGACCCTTGTTCTGTTCTCAGAACTGTTTGATGAGGGCGGCTCACTCCCTGTAAGGCCCCTCCCCCATTCTCTAAGCTCCGTGCACACAGCCGCGTCTTCGGTCTTCCCGTAGTCCCTTCCCCTGCCTTGAGACCTGCACATTTTGTTGTTTTTTCTTTTGAAGAGAACTCATTTCCACCACATTCTTTTTAGCTTGATGGTCAGTGGAGGGATGCTGTTATGGCTTAGCGATGCATTTGAGTGTCAAGTTGACAAAGGCTGGGTTATGTTGGTTAGTTTTAACTATCAGTTTGACACAACCTAGACGTATCTGTGAAGGGAAGTATTAATGAGGTAATTCATTATCTCAATCAAGTTGGCCTGGTGGGCATGTCGGAGGGAGATTGTCTTGATTGTTAACTGGTGTAGGAGACCCAGCCCGCTGTGGAAGGCACCATTCTCCAGACAGGGGTCCTAAATAGTTTGAGAGAACTAGTTGAGCGAGCGAGGACCCACGCTTTATCCTCCTTGCTTTCGACTGTGGACAGGATGCCTTAAGTTCCTACTTTAACGCCCCTGATATAATGAACCAGGGCCCCCTTTTATATCCCTAACCAGCCCCCTTTTATCCCCGGAGTTGCTTTTGGTTAAGGTCAAAGCAGGAAACAAGAAACCAGGACCACTGCCTCTCCTGTCATCCGTCCCGTCGTCATCCCGTGGCCCATCCCAGCCCTCTCCATTTCCTGTCCTTATTCATTCTTCCTGGACTTACCAAGTCTGTCTTTCAGTTCTTCTGTCTCCATGCCATCTCCCTGGGGTTGTAGCTTCTGGGTCTTGTTCAACATAGGTCACCACAAGCCCTGTCTGGAACAGTGCCCTCAATACGCATTCTTTTAATCCAGTAAAAACCTTTCTTCCCCGACCCTTTCCCCACCGAGGTTACGCTGCTGAGCTAACCGTGGCCGGGCACACTGCTCTCCCTCAGCACAGCCCACAGCGGGACCTTGTGAACGTTTGTGTAACTGCACTCTGCCATCCGTTTCTCCTCTTTCCTTCCCTGGAAGGCCACATGGCTCTTGCCAGTACTCAATGCGGAGTCAGCAGCCCAGAAAGCATCGCTCTGTGTGGTCTTTAGGAGGCCAGGGCTTCTGGGTGCTAAGGGGGACAGCAGAGCCACGTGGTGGACTTGAGGGGCTATGCAGATGGAGACTCGTGAAGGATGCAGGCTTCAGAAAGGCAAATGCCAGAGCTGGGTGGGGGATCGATGCACCTGGGGGTGAGCTGGCGACGTTCACAGACACTCTGGCTAACACCTGGCTTGCTTCTGTGTTGTCTTTATCCACAGCAATGGCGCCTGGCTCGTCTCCTACAATCACACATGCAGTTGCTAATACAAGTCTGAGCAGGCAAGACCCTCCGGCAGCAGACCCTCCGGCAGCACCGGCTAGCACAGCATCGACAAAATCCGTAACTGGTGGCCCAGGGACAGCCACACTCTCTTCAACCCAGACAAACACTGCTCCATCATCCAAAGGAGTAACAGTCCCAGACTCATCTCCAACTACTACTACAATGCAAAATACTACTGCATTGTCCCCGGGCCCCACCGACAGTCAGGGTGGTGGCAGCGGTACTACTGTGGCAGCCACCAGTAGTAGCCCCCAGCAGGACAAGATGGACACAGTAACACCTCCCAGTAGCAGTGGCCGCCCTGGTAGCAGTGGCCCACCAGGCTCCTCTGGAGGCAGGAGCAGTGACAATGCTACCACAGCCTCATCAGCCCCTCAGGGGAGGGACCAGCCGACCACGGCATCCTCCTTCCCGACTCCCGTCCCCTTAACTACCTCAGAGCGTCCTCCTGCTCCTGCCTCCACAACAGACAGCGCAGCCAGCCCTGGCCAGCCTATGGCTACTCCTTCACAAAACACAGACAGCCATTTTGCCGGGGTTCCCAGCAGTCCCGGCCCCGTGGCCAGCTCTGACTTCCCCGTGACCCCAGGGAGACCTACCACACACAGTAAGTCATTTGGGGGCATCTTTGCTTTTTTTTCTTCCCCTTTCTCTTTTTCTCCTCTTTCTTTTATTCCCCCTCCTCTCTTTCCCTTTGTTTTCTGAGACAGGGTTTCTCTGGGTAGCCCTGGCGATTCTGGAACTCACTCTGTAGACTGGCCTGCCTCCGGCCCCCAAGTGCTGGGATTAAAGGTGTGTGCCACCATGACGGGCTGCTTTTGTTTTTCTTAAGAAGTGAGAAGGGCTGGAGAGATGGCTCCGTGGGTAAGAGCACGGGCTCCTCATACAGAAGACCCAGGTTCAAGTCTCAGTGCCCGCTTGGCAATTAACAACCATCTGTAGTCACATGACACCCTCTGCTGGTCGCCTTGGGTACTGCACACATGCGGTCCGTGAACAAGAATGCAGGTGGAGCGTGCACACACACAGAAATCTCAGGAAGATGGAGAATCTTGGCAGTGCATTTTTCCATACTGTAGCTCAGTTGGAGTTTCGAGGTGTGTGTTGAGCTTTAGACATTCTGCGTGTCTTCTGCCTTCCTCAGACCTAGCCGTGGCCTCCCTTTGTAGCAGCGACAGGGGCTAACCACGCATAGATCCAACCAAGCCAGAACCTATGTGGTTGTGGTGGCAGGGCCTTAGGATACTCTGGCAACCCACCGTCAGAAACACACTTAAATAAATGAAAACAAGTCAATACAGGCCGGTGCGTAGCCTGGTGAGTTACAGTGCTCCTGTCAGCCTGATGGTCTGAGTTGGATCTCAGGGGCCCGCACGGTGGGAAAGGAGGGCCGACTCCCATAAGCTGGCTGGCTTGCTTTCAGAACTTGTGGTATGTTATTTACCGCTGTTTTCTACCTTCCTCTCCTCCATCCCACCCACCCTCTCTTTTCTGAGACCGGCTGGCCTGGAAGGAACTTGCTATGTTCCTTGAGGCCTGGCCTCAAACTCACAGAGATCTACCTGCCTCAGCCTCCCAAGTGCTGGGATTAAAGGCCTGCGCCATCCATCACACCCGATCTTATTTCTGTTTCCCTTTATTTATTTGTAAAGTGCCAGTCTTACTTGGGTACATTAGCGTCAGAATCTATGGCCAGAGCAGGAGCCTTAGGGCTCTGACTCCGTTTCTGTGCCTGAGTCCGTGCACTGGGACACAGTGGCCGCACCTGTGGCAGGCGCCCAGGCTCAGAGCGGGTGTCTGTTCAGATCCCTCACACTTCCAGCTGTGCCATATGACCTTGGGTGAGTCTCCAAGTCTCAGCTACCTTGTTGATGAATCGGGGCTGTGAAGTACCCTCCTAAAGGAGCCAGCGCCTTTGAAACAGAACCATCCCCCCCCTCGACACACACACACACACACACACACACACACACACACACACACACACACACACAGCAAGTGCCCTGTGTATGTTAGCTGTGCCTCCACCCGTGGCTCAGATAGGTTAACTGTGTCATCCTTTCTGTGACTTCTACTCAGTTCTTACCTCATCCGAGTCTGACTCATGGCCCAGGACCCAGGTCTCCATGCCTGCCTCTTATTCCTCCATAGCCGCTGGCTTCAGCTTGTGAGAAGGACGAAGGCAGAAAAGACTGCCTTTCCTTGGCAGGCACAGCTGGTCTCCTCAGCCTTTGCTTTGTCGTTGCAGCACCGCTGGACCCCTCCAAAGAGACTCCTCCCCCCGTCACCAGCCAGAGGCCAGGCATCTCTACACTGCCTTTATCCACACCGCTACAGCCTACAGGGTCTCCGGGGGGCACTGCGATCGTGCCTGCCACTGAGGAATTCACACGTTCCAGCTCTAATCTGACTCCAGCAGCCCCTCAGGGCCCCAGCACACCCTCTCCTACCTGGACTTTCAGGGATTACAAGGTAATTCTAGCAGCAGGTGGGATGAGAAAGCCCAGACTCAAGGGGAGTCTTTTCCTTTGCCCCACGCGGGGCCCCAGCTGGCCAGCCAGGTACATTCCTGGCTCTGAAACTGGCCGGCCATGCCCGCACCTTGCCCTGCGCACTCCTGTGCCACTGGCCCTCACGAAGGGGAGACTCAAAGATGGGCTGACTTTGTGCCTTAACCCTTCATCTCTTGACCTCTTCCAGCTGAAGTGTGACTCTCCCGTAAGGCTAGACGAAGGACTGCTAGTTCTGAATTTCACAGGAGCCAGCCTATGTGTGAGTACACACGCCCGAGCCCCAGCCCACCCCACATCCCATCCCAGGCCACCAACTCCCCAAAGGGAGCAGACTTTTCTGAGTCCGGCCATGCACACAGGACTGTTGCAGGCCAGAGCAGGTGCAGCCTCTCCCCTCAGCTTTCTAGGCTCCAAGCGGTCTGAGAGTTGAGAGACCCTGGTCATAGTTCCTATGACTCGTGTGTGTGTGTGTGTGTGTGTGTGTGTGTGTGTGTGTGTGTGCGCGCGCGCGTGTGTGTGGTATTGGTAGGTTAGCTGGGCCATGTGGCTCAGGCCTCTTAATTTCCAGCTACTTAAGGAGTTGAGGCACGATGGCTGAAGTCTAAGTCAGACTTGGCTCCAGAGTATATCTGAGGCCATCCCTGGCAATGTAAGGAGACCTTTCTCTTTAAAAAGTAACAGGAGTGCTAGAGATAAAGCTTTGGCTAGCATATGCCGGGTCCTGGGTTTACTCTCCAGTACCTCAGAAAATAGTTAAGTTCTGACTGATGACCCTCTGTCCTGATAGTGGATTCTGATTTCCCGGTCCTCTGCATAGCTGTATAAGAGGGCATAGCAATGCGTACAGCTCCCTTCACGCTGCCGTCTGCTGGGGCCAAGGGGTTCCTTGGGCTGCACAGCACACAGCCTTTGATAACGTCGGGACAGGTGGTGGCTGGCTTGTTGCTGCCCTCTACTGGCCGTGCCAATTTTTGCAGCCACTTCTGGGAGCAAGAACTGAAGAGTTTGGTCTCTCTAGGATGGAGACCTTGCGGTTGTTTTCTTCCAAGGACTCTGTTTTGCCGACGCTTACGTAATGAACTGTAGAAGCTTGCATTTGGCCGTCAGAGGTTTAGAGGAAGCAGTGTTGTTCTGGGGGTGAGCTTTGGAGAGAAGGCAGGAAGAGCATTGAAACTGCCCCTGAGATGATGTTTTAGGCTGTCCCTTTTCTAGAACAGGAAGATGGAAAGCTCTGGATTCACTCCTGGTGATGGAGTAAAATACTACTAAAGGAAACCACACTTGGGGAGTGTAGAGGGTGACCTGTGGAGACCTACAGAACGCTGGGGTCAAGAGTTCATATATTCATCTCGGCCCCTCATCCAGAGACAGGAAGGGAAACGTCAGCGCTTGAGCCCTGAACTGGCAGTACTGAGTAAAAGCCCATACCTTACAGCTCACAGTCAGCCCCTAACACCATGTTTCTGTGTTCTTTCGGCTTAGGTCTGTGTAAGCAACCCAGTGGCCACCCCCAGAGCTTCATACTGCCCCCTCAGCGTGTCTTGCTTTCCCTGTCAGCCTGTTTCTGGCCACAGCCTCAGCCTGTAGATGGAGCAGGGATATTATTTGGGGGTGTTTACTATCTCGGGGAGCTGTGTGGCCTTCCCACTGAGTAAATGGCCACAAGAGGCTAGAGAACAGCAGGTTTGACGCCCGGATTGTGGTTCTGCCCTGGCAGTGGTGGGGTGCTGAGGCCTGATGATGCAGCCGCTGACTGCAGAGCCTCAGGGAACTTGCAGGGAGGAAAGGGAAGCTGGGAAGGTGGTATGACTCACAGACGAGATGCACAGACTGAGGGAGCGGGAAAACCTGGGACAAGGTAGGAGAGGATAAGGAGGAGAAGGCAAAACTTGAGCTCTGGCAATCCAGGAACAGCATCCGTGAAATGTGGAGAAGGGATTCTTGCAAATGACAGGAGAAGGAGGCAGCGTCATTAGCCCAAGCTGTTGTCACACCCTCGGAATCACCTGCGCTCTCTGTTCCACAGGAAGGGAGCCCTCCGGATGAAAAACTCGTGGAACTGCTGTGCCGTTCAGTCAAAGCCTCCTTCAAGCCCGCTCAAGACGAGTGCACGCTACAGGTGGCACCTATTATAAACGACCAGGGCGTGGCAGTGAAAAAAGTCATCATTGAGAGTGAGTTGAGGGTGAGGGGATCCTAGCCCGTGTGGGCGGGAGTGCCACAGAAAGATGGTTTGGGGGTGATGCCGCCTAAGAATTTTCGAGCCAGGAACCATCCCAGGAAACCCGAGGGACTGAGATAGATACAGGACCTCCTCCTCTCAGGTGCCCCCTCCACCCCCTCCATAGCACTCTGGGCTGGACCCTGGAGGCAGCAGTCTCTCCCTCTCTCCCACAGCTAAGCTGTCTCCTAAAGACGTGTTTGAGCTCCTGAAGGACAAGTGGGATGACCTGAGAGAGGTAAGCAGCTTTGTCCTGTCCTGTCCTAAGTCCTGTGTCCTCTGGTGTAGAAGGTCCTTTGATCATGTAAGCATCTGGAAGAAAGGCACACCTCAGTGGACAGAGTGGGGTACTGGGGTGGGGGAAACCCACACCCAAGGGCCCACAAATGGGTAGGATGGAGACAAGAGGCCAGGACTCCGTTCTCTGGCCGCTCAAGTTCTCTTTCTTGGCTAGGCGGGAGTCAGTCACATGATGCTGGGGAAGGAAGGACCACCAGAAGCCAACGAGGACCGCTTCAGCCTGCCACTCATTATCACCATCGTCTGCATGGCCTCCTTCCTGCTCCTCGTCGCTGCTCTCTATGGCTGCTGTCACCAGCGCATCTCCCAGAGGAAGGACCAGGTAGGCATCTTCCTTCTCAAGCCAGGGAGCAACCAGCCAGGGGACTCTTAATCCCTCCACACAGTGAGTGGGCCTGGACCCTTCTGACACGCATTGTGGCGGCTAGAGCGGACACACGGGGTTCACGCCCTAGTGTCCCTTTTTAAGTCGGTCATAAGTCTGCAGCCTTGTCATCGGCACAGAGGGGATGGTACCTTGCGGAGCTGCTCCAGAGATTGAGGGATATAAATGGCCTTAGGCAAGTGCCCCTCTAACCAAAACTTCTTTCGCCTGACCCACTAGAACCACCATCTTCTCTGGTGTGGTGGCGTACATCTGTAATCGCAGCACTTGGGAAGCTGAGGCAGGAGGATCACAAGATTGAGGTCAGCCTGGGCTATATACAGTGTGAGCCTGTCTCATAAACAAAACTGCCATCTTTACGGTGCTGTTCTGCTGTGGGTCTCAACCCTGGCTGCAAACTCCGGGGAGCATTAAGAAAGTTCCTCTACCCGGTGACCTTATACACTGGATGGAGCAGGAGTGATGGCGATGTGTATCCACGGCCCAGTATCAGAGCACAAATCTCAGCCAGGCTGCTGCCACCTGGAGCATGGGGCACCGTAAGGACCACCATGTCCATCTTGCTCCTTTGAGAAGCCCTGTTGGCTGGAACTCTTTTTTTTTTTTTTTTTTTTTTTTTTGTCTTGTTTTATTTATTAGGGAGTGAGGTAGGAATTTTGAGAGTTTTGTGAGGGAGGGATGGAGGAGAGAAAAAGAACTTAAGGACAAAACATTCAAAAATCTATCTCTACTGATGTCACAGATTGCCACTGGAATGAAGATAAGACACCAGTTGATAATTTTAGGATATGGAAAAGTGCTCACGAGATGGTCAGGGTGACCTCCTGAAGCATCTGCTTCCACAAATGAGCCACGGGAATTGACTGTAGCCAACTTGGGGTCCCTGGGTAGAATGGGGAAATAGGTTTCATGTTAAAGCTTAAGCTCTTAAAATTGCCTTCTTCCTGGGGTCTTTATCCCCTCTCTAGCAACGACTCACAGAGGAGCTGCAGACAGTAGAGAATGGTTACCATGACAACCCAACCTTGGAAGTGATGGAGACCCCTTCAGAGATGCAGGAGAAGAAGGTGGTCAACCTTAATGGGGAACTGGGGGACAGCTGGATCGTCCCTCTGGACAACCTGACCAAGGATGACCTAGATGAGGAGGAAGACACACACCTCTGATGGGTCTGCTGGCCCCCCAACAGCACTGCCGAGCTCCGAACCACCCGAAGTGCCATTGGGACGGGGAAGCTTCCCACGGGAAGAGGGAAAGACTAAAACTGGGGAGGGAGCACGGACTCTGAGGGTTGCCTCCTCCCCATCCCCACAGGGCCTTAATTTTCCCTTTCAAAAGTCACATTCTGTCCAGTTTCCTCGTGTAAAATAATCCACTTGTGCCTGAGCCCAGAGCCGCTGGAAGGCGAGAGGAAGATGGAGAAAGCCATGTTAGGGGCTGTGGAGAGCCTCTACTTGTGGCATCCTCTCATCTCTTAAGTGAGATGACAGAGACCTGAAGAGGTCAGGTGACTTGCACAGGGTCACACAGCCATTTGGTGTCCAAAATGGTTTCTCTCAGTCTGGTGCTTAACTGCACCATGCCACACCACTGTGTTCCTTTGTGCCCCTCCCCAAGCCTGTTCTGGGCAGCAGGGATACTCGCAGGTGGGCGGGCTGGAAAGAAAAACAGGCCCCTGTGGTCTCAAGGACAGGTCCCACGTTTCCATCCCCTATGATATGGCCTCTGCTAGCCTGTATCCCACCTCTCATGATTTAGTCTTTGGTCCCACTCTTTCCCAGAGCACGACTTTGAACGTCCTGTTCTCGATTCTGATTTCCTTGCCTTTGCTTAGTGGGGTTGGGACTTAACCCACGTGGGCCTCACTATCCAATGGGGGTCTGCCTAAGGGCTGGGTAGGCAGGCAGAGAGAAAGGGAGCTCATACCCACATGGCTTCCTCACGGCAGCTGATTCTGTAACTGGCACTGGCCATCACCCAAAGGCACTCCTAGAAGACACTCCCTGAAATGTCCTCTGGCCTTCTGTTCCACTAGGAGCAAAGCTACAGTAGCTGCTAACAGTGACATGTTCCCTTTCTGTTGATCACTGCTCCACTGAGGGCGTGACTGCTCGAAACCCAGTGTCTTAGAGCAGTTGTCTAGGGACAGACATGTCCTGGGACCCTGAGTGGTCCCTGATTGGCAAATGTGTCTCAGCAGACAATCGAAGCTCGGGGGCTTTTCAGGTTACTGAGAAGTGTGTTGTGTTGTGTTGTGTGGTGTGGTGTGTTCCTTTAGTCCAGCTCCCCACTACCAAAGGCCAAAGCTCAGACGCTGGAGACGCTATTAGCGTATTTCACTTGTTCTTACCCGCCTTTGCCATGAAGAAAGTCAGGCCCAGAATAGGCAGAACGTGCAGAAGGTGCCTCTGCCCACTCGCCCAGCACGGAGCCAGGCTTTTGTTTCCCGTGTTCTTGGTGGCACCCCAGCTGTCCCCTTCTGGTGGCATCTCAGGGAAACGCAAAGCTAGCTATGCCGAGTACCTACCACAGGATTTTTAGACGCAGCAGTCAACCGCCGGGGTAGAAGACTGCTGAGGGCCGGGAACAGTGAGGTTTTATCTGGTTTTCTGAGAAGGGGGGGCCTATGGAGAGCTTTGAACTTGGACTGTTTTGTTCTTGGGCATAAATTCTCATGACCACTCTGCTCTGGAGTAGCTTGTTTTTAAAAGGGAGCCAGGGGAGGACAGGTGTCCTCTGCCTAATTCCATCTTCACAGCCATCCCCCTGTGATATTCCTTAGGGAGAAGAGGCTGCCAGAAGTCAAGGCAGGCGCTCTGAGTCCCACAGGAGCTGGAAAGATGCTAACGAGGAGCAACGGCCCTTTGGCCTCCTCCTCCTCTCAGACGGCAAGGACGGGTGGAGAGCAGAGTCAGGGGAATTAGGTCTGTTTGCTTCCTGCATTAGACTCTGTCACCAGTGGGCCATCCTGGCATGGCCTGTGTGTGAGAGGCTACTTCAGGGTCACAGCCACTGGGGCAAGGCCATCCGACAGAGAGCACATTCTATTTCTGCAAAATGGTCACAGATTGCAACCCCACACCTCTCAGAGATGACTGCAAGATTAGACAAAAGGATTCTGGGCGGAGGAATCACCATGGCTCTGTCCAGGGTAGCCTGTGGAAGTTTTGGCCAGGCTGGTCCAGAGTGCCGCCTTGTGTGCCCACACTGTGCTGCCTGTTTATACGGCTGGAGAATCTGGTCTCTGGCCTCAGCTTGTTCTTACTGCTGGGACATCTGTTCAACAGGACACACTGCTAGCATCTATAAAGTCCTCTTCCTTCGTTTGCACTGGGTTTTTAGAGCTGTCTGTTAATTCAGAATCTCTGGCCAAGAAAAGGAACAGGAAGGGTTCTCAGCAAGACTTTAAAACCAGCTGTACCAAAGAGAAATGAAGTGACTCTTCACTTCAGTGCAGATGGTTTCCAGCTGCACCCGGAGGGCCTGATGATTCTGACTCAGCAAACCAGGGGCTACCATGCATGAGTGGGAGAGAACCAGCGAGGCAGTCTCACCAGGGCAGGATCCAGGCTTATCTGGGGGACTCAGGCTTTCAACTTTTCTCAATAAAGAAAGCTAGCAGGCATTTTGAGCTTTATCATTTTTTGCCCCCCTTTTGGACAATATACTGTTGAAACTTTGAAGAATAAGTTGAAGTTGACAAGATATATGCATATTTTTGACATTGTAAATACAAGGGCCACACGGTTGTTTACCCTGTACTTTCAGAGAGTAAATTCTGAGAAAATATTTGATAGCTAAGAGATAGCTAAGCCTTTTCTCTCAACAAGAATGTAAGTATCTATTTAGTAGAAATGACTTTTAAAATGAAAAAATGTAACAGGCTGGTAACAAAAGTATTAAGCGTGTAGATAGGGCATTTTAAAATTTAAAATATGGCCCTTGCTCCTCCCCAGGCAAGTCTTAATCCTACTGCAGTATGGGCTGGAGTTCAGAATGTGCTTAATGGGCTTATGGTCACAGGGAAAAGATTTGGAAGACAGAGTTCAATTTTTCTACAGGAAAACATCCCAAGCCACAAAGGAAGTGAATGGGCCAAAAAAACCCAGGGACAGAGACAAGATTGAAACATTTGTCCCAGACTTGCCACCCTGTGTTGTGCACTTTTCAAAAACGGAATTAGGGACTGCAACTCACAGGTACAAAGTCAACCCAGGACACCACCAACCCTTTCCCACAATTACCCTAGCAATGTTGCGGATGACAAAGGCACACAGCCATGCTGCAGGGCTCTGGAATCATTTGGGTCCAAGATGTAAATAATATGGCTTTTGGGGTCTGGTTTTTCCTCCCTAACAAGAAACAATTTAGGACAAGGATCAAAGGGAATACTCTCAAGCAAGGCAGAGCAGGGAGACCCTCTAGTGACACTTCACTGTCACCCGCTCATTCCCTCAGGTCTGCTGGGAACCCAACACTGAGGAGGGATCACTGTTCCATGAGGCCTTTCTGTTTCTTAGTGAATGTCAACCAGCTTGCCCAGGAGACTGGGGGAGCATGTGTTTTAGTGGACAGGGGTCTGAAGTACACTGGAATTTATTGAGAAACTTGTTTGTAAAGACTATAGTTAACTATTGCATTTTCTTAGAAAATATATTTTGGAAAATTGTACACTGTCAATTAAAATGCTTTTGTGTAAGCTGGCTCAGGCCCCAGTGTGTTGCTCTGGCTTCAATTCTTCACCTATGCACCCGAGGACATCAGCTCCTAGCCACATCTGCAGCAGTCTCAGTAGAGGGGAGAAGAGTGCTGGAGGGAAGGACGGGAGGACTCCAGGGCTATCCAGCACCTGAGAGGACCTCACGTCCCCTGTGCACGGTTTACGGACCCGTCACCCTCTAATTGCCCTCTACTTCTGCCTGGGATGTGCCTATAAGTGACCACCACCAAAGACGCCATGCCTGTTGGGGACGATGGAAAGCAGCTGTGTTCTGGCCATGGAAGGATGCTCCAGGAGGCTTGTGTCTGTCTTTTCTCCAGGTACACAGTGAAAGAGGTAGTTGATGGATGAGAAGATACTGATGTTTTTACATTATCAACAGCTGTATTTTCTCAGGGAAGGAGAAGTCCAAATTCAGCTTGTAGGAGGGAAGGGACTGCCTGCAGATCTGGCCCATATTCTTAATCTGCCTCCACCTCATTTTCAGGAAACTCCATGGTACATGGTAGACTGCAGACTTCCCCTTTCTGGCTCAGGCCCTGATTCCATCTTTTCTCTCTTCAGAGCAGTTTTCTTTTTTCCATACCACCATCATGCTTGGGTTCTAACAACAGACTTCATTTCTACATTGTATCCAGAGTACTGTGGATTTTTCTTTGTGTGCTGGTAGGCAAGGGACACCCAGAGGGGTGGGTCAGAGTTAGGTCCAGGGTATTTTGAGGTTAACCTCCCGAGTATGCCAGGGACACAGAAAAGATCCAAATGCCAGGAACTCCCACAGGACCATGGCCCTGCTCAGGCACACAGTGCTAACGGTGACTCACAGTTATCAGAACCCACAAACTAGCTCTAAGGCTCCACTCTTCCTGAGTAGGTCACTGACCTGGCTCTCAGCCCTAACCATCTAGAGGTGCTCTCAGTTGCCCAACTTTCCCATTCTATAAGCTCCCTCCCAAACCACCTCTCTTCTGTACCCCAAAGGAAAAAAGAAAGACGGTACTGGCTACTTTAATGAGCACTTGGGGCAAATACTGAGTGCGCATTTTTCAAACACCCTGGCACATTCTCTTAAAACCAACAGGAGCCTCAAAAATATGATCTGCTGCCAATACTTAGTTGCAGAGTTGAGAATGGTCAACAATATGTACCAGTGGATGTAGAGTTGAAAACAGCATTCCAAACTCTCCCACTCCATCCCTGAGCTCAAGGGGCAGCTGTCCCCTACATGCTGCATACACTGTCAAACATCCTCCGCTCTTGGGTTTTGCCAACCATCAAAATTTTCCAGCATAGTGGACAGGTCACCTTCCCTGGCTTTTCTCTTCCCCGTTGGGTGACTCTGGCAAAGGTGTACTCGACTGCTTTTGTTTTTCCTCGCTAAGTGCACGGATGTCCCTGTGGACATCAAAGGCGTGCGTGCGTGCGTGCGTGCGTGCGTGCGTGCGTGCGTGCGGAGCAGAGAGAGATGTGTACGCTCGGCTGCCTCGCCTCACCACCACTCCCCTAGAACAGGAAAACTGCAGAGGAGGACAGAGCATCACAAGGCCAGAGGAAGAGCAGACACAGACCAGCACAGGCTCCAGAAGAGCCATTGCTCTTCCCAACTGACCCTGCAGCAGGTTGCCTTTGCTCAGTGGCAGTACCCCACTCACTCCCCAGCCCGCCCCGCCCCATTTCCATGACCTCTGGTTGTCACTTGGGAGAAATGACTCGTGTGTAGACACACTGCCACTCCTGTAGGCCTGCGTTCACTGGACACAGGCAGCTGGCATCTTAAAGGGGCTTTGTTTACTGCTGTCTTCCTACAGCAGACAGTGACCAATGTGTCAGTGTTCCTCATTTTGACCCCTTTAATTCTCAGGATTAACTAAGGAAAGGGCAAGTTCTTACCTTATCACTGGACCTCATGTCTTCCTGTTTTGAGAACACAAACATTACTTCTGAGCCATATTAAAGTACACCCTAGAAATGAAAGCTCTGCAGGAAGAGGTTGATTTTCAAGTTAAATTTAACCCCCACTTTGAATATATACCTGATAACGCAGGCTCATAAAGCCTGGAGCACTTGAATCCTAACAGATGACAGGTGGAGTCCTTGCTTCACAGAGCACAGCCCAGTTGGTATATTTCTGAATCTACCTTTTAGGTCTGGTCCTTAAAAAATTCTCCTCGACAGTAGAGACAGGGACCTAGACTTTTCCAAACTCAGAAGTACCGCAAGGTTCTCTCCCTTGGCTACTTTTCCTCCAATTAATTTTGTTTTGGTCTAGTTTCCCTTGTACTTTTAAACTAGTGCAACTAAAACCCAGGAAACAAGTTCAAACTCACAAAAAGACAAACTGCTGTTTGCCTACAGCAGATTCATTTTTTCCCATGAAACAATTTGCCAGTGTTTTTCAGAAACAGAAACTTTCCCAGGAACTGCGAGCATGACCACCTTAGCTGAACACTGCCTAAGAGGAAAGCACCTGAGGCCTCACCAGAGTCTATATCTGAAAGCCTGAATCAAACACTCCAGGCAAAAACAGGTTCTCATGGAGCTCAGGCTATCATCGAAATCGTATGTCGCGAGGATGACCTTGAACTCACTATCCTCCTATCTACTGGGATTACAGACATATGCAACCCCACTTGTAGTTTATATGTAGGGATCAGATCTAACCCCCCTCATACATGCTAAGCAAACACTCCACTATCCCCAGGGCCCATAAATGTAACTTCCTAATTTTCAAAGTAATTTTGGCAAACACAAGACATCAAGTGGTGTTCATATATAACTTTTTATTAGGAAAATGAACAAAATACATTCTTCATATGTACATTACATACAACATAATTCTACAACTGCAGTTGTTCAGCAGAGACCACTCATTTATTTACTCACAAAGTAATGATAACATGTACCAAATCTGGAGTCAGAAAATTACCAAAAAGAAGTCCTAGAAAGTCCACAAGGATTGGATAAAAGATAAACCAGAGAGGTTCACGTAGCCTGGAGCCTGGGGCGATTGCAGAACTCAATAGAGCCAACGCACCCTAAGTACTGATGCTGGAAGAGATGAGATCAGACCCAAGAGCGTTGTTTACATGTTCCAGTTCACACATGCTGACATTCCAGGTAGCTTGCAACATTGTTTCTGTTTCTACAATTCCTGCACTCCCAAAGGAGGGGGAAGAAAGCAGAGTCCAACAGGGTGGTTTTCTCCTCCACATCAGGCGTTAAAGAGTCTAATCCAAAAACCGAGGTGCCAAACTTGTAAAACTTCTAACTCCTGGCCGGTGTTTACACATTGTTTTCTAGGCATTTGTTTAGCATGATAAGGAGCTCTTATTCCATGGAAATGAACTCCTTATAGTCTGCTTATATTGTATTCCTTTGGCTTTGCTTTCAGCCTTTTATTTTTGAGTGTGCGTTTAATTTTGGACATAGGAAGCGTTCATCACCAATAGAAGTCTACTCACGATGGGACTATGTTCCATATGCCTGTGATGGTGCCTAAATGCCATACAAATGCAGTCTTAGGGATAAAATTTCCAGTAACCAGAAAAGAAACACTCCATAGCTGCCAAGGAGTTCTCTTTCCCCAAAGTTCATCACCAGAGATACACAGAAACTTTTTTTTCTACTTTTCAAACTTTATGGCAAGATAATAACTGAGGATCATAAGCAGGGATAAGTCGTATGTACACTTGCAAGCTGGTCCTACCTGTACACCTGCAGCAGAAAACAGAAAGGCCAGTAACATTTGCTTAAAGACCTTTCTTGGCTTTGGCCCTTTTGATAAGAAAGGTAAGAAAAACAAGATTAAAAAAAAAAGTTAGCCATGCCTAGTGGCCCACATTTTAATCCCAGCACTCAGGAGGCAGAGGCAGGTGGGGCTCTGAGAGTTCCAGCACATCCAGAACTACAAAGCAAATAAAACCCGTCTCAAAAACACAAAGAAAAAAAAAAAAAAAGAAGTGGTCTTGGGTCTTGTCAGTCAGTAAATGAGAGCCTTCCTTCCTTACTTTTACTTAGTGCTTTCCTATTTTTATGTAATAGGCATAGTTTTATGATTACAAAATCAATATGTTATTAAAATTCACAAAGGTCACTTAACACCTCCTAGCTTTCAGATCAGCTGATTCCAGCGTGTCCAGGCCAGATGCTCTCCCCGGGAAGGCTAGATGCAGCCTCACTCAGGCCTGGGGACATGAGGGTGTACCACCTGCTGGCAAGCTTCAATCTCTTTTTTTTTTCCTTTCAGTTTTCAGAGACAGGGTTTCTCTGTGTAACAGCTCTGGTTGTCCTGGAACTTGCTCTGTAGACCAGGCTGGCCTCGAACTCACAGAGACCCACCTGCCTCTGCCTCCCAAGGACTGGGAATCAAAAGCACGCGCCACCACTGCCCAGCTGCTGTGATCTTTCTTTATCTAATTTCCACCCAAACTTTGGCTCGGAAGCTCTTTATCAGATGGCATCTTAATTCTGGTCACTATGTACTTCTGACTCACAAAAGCAAAACAGTTGGCTTTAAAAAACGTTAACACTTGTCTTGTGTGGATTATAAATATGTCTTCTCCAGAGATGGAATACTGCATGATCTCAGGACTAAGACAAGGAAAATTCCTCCCTTAGCCCCCTCATCCTCTTTTGAGGCTGCAGAGTCAGCTGTGCATAACTTTAGATCGGTAATAAGAAGAATATGTCTTCACTTCAAAAAGAAAAAGGAAATGTAGACTCCAAACAAAATCTGCTCACAGGAACAAAAAGAATGCCACATTATTTTTCTAAATTGAGCAGAAGGCTAGACATAAAGGATAACCAATACTGTACAATCTATCTGATTTCCAAAGACTCTGCATACATGTCAGAAGGCAGACCGGCTTAAAGACCACAAACATAGCGTTTGTGCCCAGGCTAAAGGTAATGATTAGGAGAGGGAGCCACACTGTTCAGGAGGGCTCTCTGGAAGCTTAGCAAACACATGGTCTTTTTCTTTCATGAACAATGGAAACATTTCTCTATCTGGGGCATCAGCTTCCTGAGTGCCCTCTGCTTCTGAGTCGTCCTCTCTGTGTGCTTGTTGCCTGTGTTTCTTCACCCCAATTAAAAAAAAAACTCTCCCCACAGAAACTCATTCATACATAGCCTCGTATTTTGGAGTTGGACATCTATCATTAAGTGGGCTGGGCTGACAATTACTTTTCTGTGTTCTCACAGGCATGACTGGCATTTATATGTGAAATTAGGCCAGGACCTGCAAAGGTACACGTGCTCTATAGCTTCAGAAGTGGGCATGCTAAAAAATGAAAATTACACACACCTCTGTTTTCAGTAGCCACTGCATCCCAAGAATGTAAATACAGCAATTGCACTGTAATACTCTCAACAATCACTTGTCAAATGCAGGCCGGCATGGCCTGAAGGGTTTCTGGTCTTGGGTTGCAACTGAATCTAAAGCTTTGCCAGCTGTTAAGGGAACCGGACCATATTCTAGGTTCTTTTTCCAATTTAATCCATCATTTTACAGGTATGTAGAACACCTAAAAGCATAAAGTTATCAGAAACCCGCAACACTAAGGACAAATAAATACAACCACCAGGATTGGATAAGAGTAATTCATTTTAAGACAAAAAAAAAAAAACCCTGTCAGTCCAATTCTGTATGGATCTGAGGTACACAATGACACTTTCTTCCTATTTTAGGGGCTCAGTAAACGAACACCAACCTACCAACACAAGCTGAGCTTAGGACTTTCTTGAGACTTGCTAACAACGGAGAAAAACACAGTTCCCAAGCCAGTCTGAGCAACCCTCACCCATACCCACGGGCTTGCTGCAGACAGAACACACATGATTTCTTCGCTGCCAACTAACCTGGCATCCACTAAGCAGTGGATGAAACTGAAGAATGAGGATGTCTTCAGGCTCGTTTTCTGTGTGACAGCCAGCTCAAGTACGGAAACTCTTTGCTGGGCTTGAGGCTAGCATGCAAGATGGTCCAGGGCTGCGCTGCACCAAGAGCTCAGAGATGGTGACTGAAAAGGTCCTTTGGGAGCCTCCACATTGTACGTTGAAACGTTTCACTTCTATTTTTTTTTCCCGTGGGCTTATCAAGGAACTAGCCATATGTAGAAAACTACTTAGTTTTAAAATTTAAAGATTACTCTGGGCTGTTTTAAAGTCTGTATTTGCAAGAAGAGTAAAAAAATTAATTACCTAGGAAATGCTACTTTCCCAAACCTATTCAGAAGAACACAAGCTTTGACCCCCTTTGATAACTTTTTTCCTAGCACTGAATCCACAGACTTATTCTAGCTTAATAATGAAGAGCTTTCTGCCTTGCTTAGTTTTAGGAACCTTCAAACTCCTGTTTTTTCTTTTTCTAGCACACTTTCATTCTCCTCTGGGGCTTTCTTCCAGAGGTCAACCCATCTTGGGACAATGCACATATACATATAACAGTGCACATGTACATATAACAGCCTACTGGGGCCACCCATGCAGCAGAGAAAAAGGAGACACATGATGTCACAGTCCTCAGAACTGGTTCCCTTCCCTCCCTACTTGACATCCTGCACTGCCGCCTTTCCTGTTGTTGATTCCATAGCTGTTAGACGGCATCCACACAGACCTGTTTCCAAGCAAGCCTGCCCGTGTTTGGGGACAAAACTGCACTGCTGTGGGATGGTCTGTATGTCAAATGTGTTGCTGATTGGTCAATGAATAAATCACTGATTAGTCAGTGGCCAGGCAGGAAGTATAGGCGGGACTAAGAGAGAGGAGAATTGTGAGAACAGGAAGCTGGGTGAGGGAGACACTGCCAGCCGCCATCAGGACAAGGAAGATGTAAAATACTGTAAGCCACAAGCCATGTGGCAAGATATAGATTAATAGAAATGGATTAATTTAAGCTGTAAGAACAATTAGCAAGAAGCCTGCCACGGCCATACAGTTTAAAACCAATATAAGTCTCTATGTTTACTTGGTCGGGTCTGAGCGGTTATGGGACTGGCGGGTGAGAGAGATTTGTCCTGACTATGGGCCAGGCAGGAAAACTCTAGCTACACTGCACATCTGCAGATCTGACTTACAGCTGGAATGCAGAAGAGAAATTAGAATCATCCTTTGTTTTCTGTGTTGTGAACTGGACTCCAATTCAAGATCAGTGGCTTTAGAAAAAGAGAGTAACAGGAATTTTCCAGGAAGGTATTTCTCCTAGTCTAGTACAAAGTCTAACTTACCGTACTGTCTAAGGACTCCCTAGCTTAGACACTACAGATGTTACTGCCTGACAATTTTATCACTAGCTTTATGACTGAGAAAGCAATTTAGTCACTTGGAACTGAATGTAAGTTCACACTTGTACAATTTTTAACAATTTCATTTACTTATTCATTTATTTTGTATGCATGTGCATGTGTGGAGGTCAGAGTCAACTGTGGGAAGCAGTTCTCTACGTCCATCATGTGTGTCCTGGAGCACACCTCTTTACTTTCTGAGCCATCTTACCTACCCTAAAATCATGGTCTTTATCAGAAAAGATATTTGCATCACTATATTATTTTTATTTTTTAAGAAAATAAGGAATATCAGTTATTTAGTGGTAATAAAAGCCATTTATAATATTCAAACTGTATCAGAAATTAGCCCCACCCCCAAACCTTGGGGCGGGGACTCATTATGCAGCTCCAGCTGGCCTGGAACTCACTATGTAGATAGACTGGCCTTGAACTCACAGAGATATCTTTTTGCTTCTGTCTCCCAAATGCTGGGATTAAAGGTATGTACCACAACACTAAAAGCCAACGATTAGCACAAATTTCAACTTCAACAGAAAATCAATGCTACTGATGGAGATAGAAGCAGAAAAAAGTTGGGTAAAAATACAATAAAAAGAAAGGGTGATAGCAGATGTAAAGTGTGGTGGCACACTGGTCTCCATGAGCTAGCTTTCTTTCAGAACCTGTATTATGCCAACAGTTCTATGACAACTGTCCCTAGTACCAGGAAAAGAAGCCAGACCATGTTTCTCAGTGAAAGCTGCCATTGAAATGATCACTATCCCCAAATGAAAATGGCACACGCATTTTATAGCAATATCTAAATGTTATTACTTCTTTACCAATATACATTTTAATCTCATTATTCTCTTATCATAAACAGAAGCATGTATGATTGACAATAATTTGACTTTTTTTAAAAAGCAATACAATAATTCTAAACAGTGCCATAGAAAAAAATCTGAGAAGTAATGAATAAAGTTAAATTACCAAGGAAAATAAATGGAAACACAATTCACAGTAATTGGTGAGTAGAATAAATTTACGGTTAAAAGTCATCTAAAAATAAAATTTGAGATAGCATTTATTAAGAAAACAATAGCATTGGTGATAAAATCAATAGACTGCAATAACTCCACCCCACAAATAAGCAAACTATTCATGTCATTAATTTGTACTGGTCAGCTCCATGTAATTTCAACAAATGTGGAAACTCTGACCTTCAACTGACACACCTATATAGAGAAGATTTTATATAATATATACCTGACATATACTAGAAGCTTTGGATAGCCAAGCCATTTTAACATTAAGACAAATTACAGAGACTAAACCCACAGTCAAAAACCACATATAAAAATTAGTATTATTTGCCTAATACAGAAAACAAAAATTGCATTAAAGAGCCCAATGACTTAATCTGTAAATATTGTCATATACAGACCTCTATGACATAGCTCCAGCAACTAGAGATTTTTTTTCTTGTAGAGCCTGAACATCCTAAACCACAGACTAGCTAAAACTTGGTGAAAATTCAAGCAAGAATTTCTGCGAAGGCATGAGACTGTAGATGAGCAAGGTTTTTAAAAGCAAGTGTTAGGAAGGGCATTTTTAAAGAGCTTTGTGACTTTGTCTACAGTGCACACTATCAAAACAGAATTACCAACTGTCATAAAATAGTCAGCTAAGGATTTCACACTTGTTTCACTCAGGAAATAAATGACTCACAATTATCTAACAAAACAAAATAATTAATTCCTTTATATATATAATTACCATGAAATTTAACTCTGAAATTAGTAATCAGGAACACTCTTTTAAGTGCTTTTTGACTTATTAAACAACAATCTCAACCTCTCACTAAATGGTTAAGTTCCTCAGCTAGCTTTTATCTGTACGGATTTTAAGCCTACTTTGTCCTGTGAAGCTGTTACTGTGTACTTCTGTGAAACACTTTTAAGGCAGGTGTGGAGAGCCAGTGGAGTGACAAGTGGCCAGCACTCACACACAGAGCACACACTGCACTCAATACAGCTTTATAAACAAACACAGCACTGATTTTAAACCTACACACTTTTCTACAACAAGCCAATGACTTCATTCCCAATGCTTTCTCTTTTTACTCTCTGGACACAGAATGGGCAGTTTTAGTAAAAATGGAAACCGTATCAAAAAAGGTGACTTTGATAAAGGTTAATACTGTGTGTCAGCTTTAACGACACACTGGTGGGAATCCAATTCTAAATGACTCTCTCTGTGTAAAAAACACGACATAACTGAATCCAACAAGCTGGTGGCCAAGTAAGGTCTCCTACTATTTCATAAATAAAACGCAAATGCACTGTCAAGTGACTTGTAGTTCAAATTCTTACAGAATACAAGGGTGAAAGTAGCATCAGGTATCTACAGCTAATTTCTGATTGAAAGCCACATATTCTGCTGGAAAAAAAGAGATGGAGGTGAGGCTGAAACTGGGGATTAAGTAAAGGGAACAGTTTCCCACTAACGCATCTAAAGCTAAGTGTTTTAATTTGGGACTAAGCTAGAACATGAAACTTTAAGTAGTAAAGCACATGTATTTGGTTACTTAAATACTAACTTTATTGTATAAATTATAATATTCTGCTGTTGCTCCTTAGTAAATAAATATCTGTACAATTTCTCAATCTGGGTTCTGATATGAAATATTGTGAGCAACATGTCAGTCTTGGTCCTGGACACAGAAAGGCCTATACTTTCTGAAGCTGTCACTGGCAGTGCCCCCACTAAACCCCAAGGCACAGATTCTAACCTGATCTAGCCAGCCCTGTCAGTTACCTCCTCAGTCAGTGAGAGATCTCACTCAGGCAACACTCAGTGCTTTCCTAGGACTCAACTACTTAAACATGGTTGTGAAAATTAAAAACTCAAACTAAATAAAAGTGAGGAGAGATGGAATTAAAGCAGGCATGATAGAAACAGAAAAAAGCAGTTACGAGGAAAAAAAGAATCACTGAGGTCAAGAAATGAATTTCATCCAAATAATAGAGTCTGAGAACTGATGGGAAAAACTCGGGGGTGGGATGGGGAGTGGGGGAGAGCATGCATACGAAAAGGTGGCAGGTAGCACAATTCCATTTGGTTGTATTGTCAAGAAGCTCAGCTACAGCTCTTATATTTTGGCAACTTCCAGTTCAGGTTCCTTTGTCAACTACTGATTTGCATCTGTCTTTGAAAAATGAGCTCCATCAGGCTACACTATTAGTGATACAGTTTATGCTCTTGGCTGTTACTCAGGAGAATCACTTTAAGAAATTATAAGTCTTTGAATATTACTCAAATGTACAGTTAACTGATTATTCTGTATTTATACAATTTGATACCTGATAAAAACTATACATCATATTTTTCACAAGATAAGTTATTGACTTACATGTTTAATAAATTACTGATTGCTTTGGGATGCTTGTAAAGCTAAAAAGTCACGATTCAATCCTACGACCAGCAAAAATACATTCCTGTTCATCTCAAATGGCAAAAATATACTCCCATTCATCCTCAAAAGTAAAATCATGAAGTAAAGACAGAGGAAAAGATGTATCAAAGTCTCATTCCTATACAGACACTTTTTGAAAGTACAGGTCAATTTCATAGTCACACACTCTTAACAGCTGGCATGTGGATATTATAGGTTCTGCTTTCAACATGGTGGGTTACCAGCTGCAGATGGCACACTTTCAGCAATGTGAACACTAACTAGCCAGATGCAGGTTTCTCATGCAACATTCCACAACACCTAATAGGAAGGTATGCTCCTCTGTTCCTGCATACACAAGAATGGAACAATTTGTTGTACTTTTCTGTCTAGTGAAAAACTTAGTATTTTTTTTTCCTTTTGTCTATTTAAAAAAGCCTGGTCCACATGCTTACTGAAATGCCTGTCAGTTGTATGCCAAAAGACAACCACAAACCATTATTCTTCAAAACAGCAGGGAAACATATCAGAAAAAAAATGAAAGCACAGCTCTGGAACCCACTTCCCCAGATAAAACTGCAACAACAAGAGAACTCTGAGGAGAATGTGAGCACTGGTTCTGTATAACTCTACCACAGGAGAGTCCTTTCCTCCCCCAATCCCTACAAAGCTATCAGTGAAAACAGTCATCAGGACAGGACCTCTCCTGCTGGTCATCTGGGGGGACCCTCTTAAAGTTTCGGGATGACAGCCTTGGTTTCAGGTTTTTGTGATTCGAAGCCAATGGCTACTGTAATAGTCACTACAAAATATCAATTCAGAAATGCCAACTCTGATCAGGAGTCTGGGTCAATCTTGAGTTTTGTTTTTTGGTTTTATGGCAAAAAGTATAAACTGAGGCCCTCTAACCTAATACAAGAAAAGTCAACAGTTCCACCTATCAGCTTCCCATACAGCAACTGTCCCACAGGAATACACACCTGCTAAGAATGACGAAGTAAGCCAGTGGCCCACTGACAGTAGCTGTGAGGTGAGGAAAAGTAAAAGGGAAAGACAGGAGGACAAGGGGACAAAGGCCAACAACCCAACAGCAAACCCCACCTCCTACAGCACTGAGTCTACTGACAGGGCTGCTTTCCTAACTAAAAATAAACTTGGAAAAACGGGAAAGCAGGAAAGTGTCATTTTCATTAACACTTGTTAATTCTTAAAAGCTAAAGAAAGATATGCATAATTAAATGGGAAGTATATCAATTTCACTTTATTAGCCTAATGCAGGAATATGAGGAAAAGGGGATTGTGGTCAGGTACGAAGGAGAGGGTTAAAACTTGTGATAATAAGGATCCTTCAAAACTCTGATGCAGTCCTCAATTACTGCGACGTCACCTCTGCCCACACAAACACGGAACTCCGACTCCAGTCTCCACTTCTGAGCCTAGCAATTCCTCAACTCGACTCCCCAGTTTACAGTGTGATGAGGTCTACCAGATTGCCTTTAGGAGGAGTCATGCTGTCGGGAAAGAAATTTACTAGGGTGTCAAAGAGCTGAGTTCTTTGAGCATAGGTGTGATCCACATCTGAAAAGCCTGGTGAAGAAAAGAAAACAAATTTATATATTATTTCAAAAATTCAAAACAAAACAGAAAAGTTAATGTGACCAGCATCATGCACAAAGGGAAAAATCAAAATCAAGACAGGCTTCAAGACTAGCTAAACTCTACCAACGTGATCCTGGTTCTACCAGCTCACAACATCTAGAACAGTGGTTCTCAACCTTCCAAATGCTATGACCCTTTAATAGTTTCTCATGGTGTGGTGACCCCCAATCATAACATTACTTTGTTGTTACTTCATAACTATAACTTTGCTACTGTTATGAAATGTAATGTACACATCTGTGTTTTCTGATGGTTGTAGGCAAACTCTGTGAAAGGGTTATGACCCACAAGTTGAGAACCACTGCCCTGGGGGTAGATGCCTCCTTGACTAGACATTATCAGCCTCCTTGGTGTCCAGCACCCATTTCCTAACAGATGTACATCTGTGAAATCCTGTTTACTTCACAGACATCCTTACAGATTAAATGCAACTACAACACCTAGCAGAAAGACTGTTATTTCAGTAATTAATACTGATTTCTCATCTCTCCTTTGCTAAATTATTACTCTACTACTTAATTATCTATCTCTTCAGTGCTTCTGTCCCAGTAATGTTTTTGGTAATAAAATATAACAAAAATCACAATGAAGAGATCTTCAGGAAAGCAGGCTAAAATCAGCAAGGTCTTTAGAGGTGGAAGTACTGCCAGAGGACTGAGTGAAAATACAGACAACCGAGAGAAAGAAATCTAAGCACTACAGCACATAAGGTACCTTAAATGCCATTATTATGGTGCTGTGTAACAGGTTCCATATTTAATGAGAGTAACTAAGTACTTTTATGCAAATAAACACCACAGAGTAATAGACGTTTTTAAAAGACAGAGTTTATTAATATAAAGGATTCTTCCCTCCATTTACATCTAGCAACATTTAATTTTCAAGTTCACACCAACCCATGCCCCATTTTGGTAAGTTTGTATACTGATCTCAGTTGCTTCAGACTTCTAACATACAAATTAAATGCTTATATGATAAATGATTTTCCTATTACTGAATGGCTAGCTGGGACCATCAGAAAAAGAACCATGGCTGTGATAGTTCAGGGAAAACGCAAATTGGACTGATTCCACTCAACAGTTTTAGATCCAAATTGTTTTAATCTTGTAAAGAATAGAAATGGAACAAAACATTGTCAAGGTTACCAGCTTCCTGGAAGGAAATAAACAATGCCTTGAGAATAGTTCATTCCTTTTTATTTTAAAAAATTATTATTATTGGTATTTTTAAGTTTGCAGGGGGAAATGTTTCTTCCTTTGAGCGTAGCTTAACAAAGCTTACTATCATATCATAGACATGAACAGAAGGAAATACTGCAAAATACTAACAAAGCTTATTTGTGAAGGTGAGATTATAGCCCTTCTCTTTATTATGCTTTCCTGAATTTTTCCAATTGCTTTACTTTCAAACACTGCAAACACACAGGGGTTTCGAAAGTCCAACAACTATTCATCCAGGACCTTCACTTTGAGGAGTCTGCTGTTAGTGTCTTGCCTGACATGTCCTTATTGTGGACATAGACATGCCCAACACATCATCTTTTTATGGAAGCACCTGTGGGTTTTGTACACCCTCCCTCTGGAATTACTGAACTCATTTCAACTAAGAACAGAACACCCACTCATACGATCCACCATCCCCTTCCTCTTCCACCCCTGCCCCACTCGACACATACCCATCTCCTGTGGAGTTAAGGAATGAAGCTAGGACCTGGCACAGGGCAAGTGTTCTGCCACTGAGCTACATCTTAATGCTCACTCCATATTAAATGTGGGAAACTTAAATTAATGTTTTAATAATCTTTTTATTTTCCATTTACCCTAAGCAAAAATCTGACCTGAGATCACACTCTATTTGGATTTGAACTCTCTTTGATCTGAATCAAATCTGCAGCTTCCTCATCTTCTAATGGCACAGATTATTTCTGAAGTACATAGAAAAGTTGTATAGTGTGTGTTAAATTTGGGTCTGTCTTGAGAGCTCTATGACAGACACTGGTTTATGCAGTCCTTGGCAGAATACTACAGAAGTGATACTGTGTCCTTCTCAGTGCATCATCTCAGAAAGCACATGGTTATCAGTTTGGACCGCTATCAATGGTATTAACTTTGGTCATAAGGTTAACTCAGCCTATGCCCAATTTCTCTGCTAAAGTTTTATTCCTATTTCTGAAATTAATAACTGCTAATGGGGAAATTGTTTGACATTGCATAAATACCTTGTTTCTCAAAACACCAAAACCCAGTGATTAGTAGTCACTGATGGTTCTTACTGAAAGAGCAATTATATAAAACATTGGATTTCTCTAATTGTGATTCCTTCTATAGTTGCTAACCGGAATTCTGTTATAAAGATCTTTCTCTCTCTCTTTTTTGCTTTTTTTCAAGACAAGGTTTTACTATATAACCCTGGATGTCTTGGAACTCACTTTGTAGACCAGGCTGGCCTTGAACTCACAGAGATCCACCTGCCTCTGCTTCCCAAGTGCTGGGATTAAAGGTGTGTGCCACTATGCCCAACTATAAAGATCTTCTTTTATCTTCCTTTTTAAATTTATTTGTTTGGTTCAGTATGTACTCCTGAACTTTTCTCTTATTCAATGTTAAACTTATCATTGTCACCATTCATTTTGATATTCACATCACCTCAGATTTAACCAGTGAGAAACATACCCACCAATTTTTGAGCATTTCTTTACTTTCCCATACAATAAGATTTCAAACTCATTCTTATACAGCTCTGAAGTCAGTCATTTTTCCAAAAAGGCATAATTCTTTGTAGTAGCAAATTATTTGAGAAATCCAAAATCAGTTACACTAACTGTCAACATATCATTTCTAGGCCTGGACATAGAAACTCCCCCCTTAGAATCAGTTAAGAGAGTTAGTAGTTTCATAAAGTCTCACAGACAGTGGGTGAAGAGACTAAAGTCTATCTACTGCATTTAATTAGTGTGTAGGACAATACATGCTCATCTTCACTTTGATCACTAATAAGGAAATCAAAGCTTACACTACCATCGGACTATAGAGGGTCCTTAGAATTCTTTCGTAAGGACCCAGCAGATATAGCACAGTTTCATAAAAGTATTTCAAAGCCAGACAATTAAATAAAATATGCTGTATAGTATGTTTTTACACTATGTAACAAAAGCAGCATACTCAAAACCATATGTTTATATATACATATTAATATAAAATCTTGACTAAAGATTCTGTATTTACAAAGTCACCTCATCACTGAAATTTATTTGTAATCCCACAATTAAGACTTGGGGCACTATTGTGAATATTTATAGACAAGTGCAGAATGGCAGAATATTTGAGTTTCCAGAAGCACATCCCCAGTAAAGTCTGCCTTCTTGTTTCAGGTCTTGTATCATATAGCTGTTATTTCATGTTCTGTTTGGAGCCACATTTTTCAAATTCTGTGCTGTTTGATGGTGACCCCACCATTTAAGTGGCCTGGAGCTGCAGTCTAGTGTTTCTGAGAGTAAGAAGCTGTGACATGGCTTTCAGAGACAACAGGCTAAACAAGCTTCATTCAGGTAGGGACCTTGGTCCTCCTGACCATGAGTTCAATGTGAATGAATAAATAGTGTACTAAATAAGGAGGCATTAAATAGAAATACCCAAGAGTCAATGTTATGCAATGATCTGTTGGAGGGGCTCACAGAAACTTAATTCTCCGAGTTTCCCATAAGAGCAGTGATTCACCTTCACTAATTGTCTTTGTGGTTATAAAACATAATTATCTGAATAATCAGAATCAATTATATCAACATGTCTCTTTACAAGGCAGTGTTGGGTAAAGACACACCAGGTAGAGCAGACTGGGAAGCTGTGTAAGGAGAAACTTATGCTTCATCTGAGTAATGTTTGTTTGCCTGTTTGTTTCAATACATGTAAAAGGGGCAGGATCCAGGACACCCCCTGACCCAATACTAAGAGACTGAAATGACACTGGCTGCAGAGAAAGGTGGTACTGATGTCACCCCTCATGTTCCTCTCCCTTCTGCTGCGCTGTACTAACCAGGACTGAAGACAATGACTGCTCTAAAGACATGAGGATCTACTAGGAGTCAGCTTTGTTTATACCCCGAGGAAACAAGTTGTTCTTGACAAAATATGTCCTCTGGCAGAGAGCAAGGAAGAGACAGAAGAAAGGAATTAAGCTAAACGGTAAAATATTTGCTGACACAGTCTTAACCTATTTAATCACTGTCAAGAAATTCTTGTTTTAATGGCTAAACATTAGCCAAGACAGGTTAGTGTTGCCCACCAGTAAGCAAAACAATGGCTCTGGGTGGTGGTATCTGAACACACTAAGGCACAAACTCTTTGCAGGCTCACAATCTGTTTATCACTATGTCTGCTTCAAAGGACAAAATTCTGAAAGGCGTGAGCTTTCTAGCAGTGTTTGTACCTAGTTACTCCATTTATCAGGACAGGGCTGCAAGGTTTTGTACCCTAAAGACATGTCCACTGGAGTGATAGTGCCTGCTAATCTAGCCAGTGGAGTCCAATGTATTTGGGAGTTAAGGACTGCTAGTTTTCTGTTTTTTCCTTTCTGTTTCCTTTCTTACCACAATGATATCAAGCTATTCTGGAGTTAGAAATGAAGACCAGAGTTGCCTAAATCCTTAAAGAAGTCTCAGTTACTTGTTTAGAAAAGGGAAGGCAAAAAATCCCAAGGAACATTGCTGTTCTTTCCCATCCCAGGGAATAGCACCAGAATCACACAATTTGTTTGTTTTTTCTTCCAAGAATCACTCCTCTTTAGCAGACAAAAGGACAACCAATGAAGAAAGCAAACCAGTACCACCAAGGGCTATTTGATTCCAAATAAGAGAGCAGTATTTATATTATGCACACTGTTGTACGACTCCTGGGCAAATACTAACAGCACTGGTATCCACAGGGTTAGTGTGTACTCATGTAAAATTACATTGCACAATGCCAAGTTCAGAACTGGAGTTTCTCATGTTTCAAAGATTACTCTTTGAGGCCAAAGAATCATTGAGTCCAAGCCCAGTGTAGAACTTAAAAAGCATAATGCTGGAAAAGACTGAAGCTACCTATCGTGAATTGTTCTAACAAAAATATCCTTGAAAATTCACTAGATAAAGCTCTGGGTCCTGGAACTTCTATTACAGACTTAGCAGACTTATTTTTATGATAGCCTAGTTTAGCTGCTCTGTGCGTGCGTGCGTGCGTGCGTGCGTGCGTGCGTGCGTGCGTGTGTGTGTGTGTGTGTGTGTGTGTGTGTGTTAACTTAAGGTTTAAATCAGCATGGAAAGCACAGGTGGCCTCTGGGTGTTTTCATACATTCTTAGCTTTAGGTGATGGTCACTCCTCTCGCGCATCTTCTTGCCCATGTTCCCAGAAGTCCCCTTCAATTTTTACATCACATGTATTCTCCTACTCCCCACCCCTTTGTCTCCTCTCACAGCTCTTTTATAGTGTTCTGGCCTCTCCCCACACCCACTCCCCATAATAAACACACAAGGAATTGGAAAGCCAGGATATGTGCATGATAAGCACAGTGCTTGTCTCTCAGAGTCTGAGTCACCTCACTTAGTGCAACATTTTCTAGTTCCACCCATTTTCCTGCAAATCTCATTTTTCTTTATGATTAAAATTCCATATATGAATGTACCATACTTTCATTATCTAATGAGGGCTATTGGGGTCCTGCCCCCAATAGCCTTCACCCAGAGTTCCAGAAGAGACGCTACTGGTGGTGGATTAATCTGTGGGGCTCACTAATAAATCTACATACATGAAACTCTTTAGTCTATACACTTTATTCTTCTGAGTCAGTTCTCTCTCTACACAGTTTCTTTTCTGTTCTCTTTTTTTTTCCTTTTCTGTTCTTAAGCTTAGCTCCTCTCTGTCCCTTCTCTTCCTGTCCTATCCTAGTTCTAATCTCTTTTTGCCTTGTCCTCATCTTCATTTCTCTCTACCTTGGTTCCTTCCCCTTCCGCTCCCACAACCAGTCATAGCCCTACCAGCAGCCTGACTCTTACAGTACAATGCTAGGCTTCCCAGGCCCCCACAAGAACAGTGATAGCCAGCTTCATTCGCAACACAAAAGGGAAGTGAATAAAAGAGGTGGGGTTAGATAAGGCCTGGAATAAGTCAGAAAGGGAATCTATGTGCTCAAAATATATTCTTATAAATGGTTAGGTGAAACATTATGAGTCTATCACCAACGTGCTCAAACTACAATCTTACAGGTGGTTGGGAAAAGAAGTCTATAAGTCACTAGAATAAAACTGCCTCTATTTTCCTATGCCGCCATCTACTGGCAGGGTGGGGTAGGGTGGGGTAACTCTGCTCATAGCTACATTGTACCTGGTATGCAAAAAAACCCTTCTGTTCTGAGTCAATTGCTCTGGAATACCATTAGGGCTGTGAGAGAAAGGAGGGTCTGAGCTTCATTTGCACAAGAAACAAAGCTATGCACCTAAGTTCACCTGTCTACTAGGCCCAGGATGCTTGGATGCTTGAGAAGAATTTCAGGTAAAATAAACTGTTAAAAGTTCTTGGGGAAGTTAAGAGCGCACATGAAATTCATAGCAGGAAACAGCTGACACATTAAAAACCGAATAACACCAAATACTCCTTGAGATTTGGGTTCCTCTGGAAGAATGCCTTGATTTTTTTTCCAGGTATAGCTTTACCATACTCAGCTGCACTCTTACTACAATCCTGGAGCTGGTAACAATTACCTATTCATTTGTTGATAGACATTTAAGGTGGTTCCATTTCCCTGCAAACAGATCAGCAATGAAAAAGGATGTGGGGGCTGGAGAGATAGCTCAGTGGTTAAGAGCACTGGCTGTTCTTCCAGAGGTCCTGAGTTCAATTCCCAGCAACCACATGGTGGCTCACAACCATCTGTAATGAGATCTGGCGACCTCTTCTGGCCTGCAGACAGAACACTGTATACATAATAAATAAATCTTTAAAAAAAAAAAAAAAAGAAAAGAAAAAGGATGTGCACGTCTTTCTGTGGTGGGGTACAGAGTCCTCTGGGTACATGTCCAGAATGATACATCTGGGTAATATTATAGTTCTATTTTTAGTTTTTGAGAAGCCTCCACACTGGTTTCCACAATCACTGCACCAGTTTACACCCCCCCAATACTGCATCAATACTGAAAAAGATCTCCTTTGCCAGAGTTTGTTTTCATATTTCCTTGAGGACAGCCATTCTCAAGACTGCGGTGAAATGGAGTCTCCAAATAGCTCTACTTTGCACTGTTCTGATGGCGAACTCTATTGAGAGCTTTTAGAAACATTTATGGGCCATCTGCATCTCTTCTGAGAACTGTGTGTTCAGTTCATTGGCCCCATTACTGATTGGCATGATTAATTCATTCATTTAGGCTTTTGTGTATGTGTACCAGTTCTTTATATATTCTAGTTGCCTAAAATACAGCTGGTAAAGGTTTCAGTTTACTATGTTGATAGTATTTTACTATGCAAAGGCTATTTCATGTAATCAATTTTCAATTCTTGTGACCATTTCTTATGCTATTGGAGTTCTATAACTTTAGTTACTTTAATCATCCATTAATACCATTCAATTCCTAGCACCACATTTTTTCAAGTAATTTATTAATACTAAATAAGAATACTTCTAAATGAAGACTAATATCCATATTTGAGAAGTTTGAGGGGAAAAAAAATCTTAAAGGAACTTGAGTTAATTCATCAACAGTTAACATTTTTCATTTCTAAAGAAAGATAATTTATTTACTTTCAAAACATTTCATTCAACTCCTGATACTACCCCACTCCCCGAACAACAACAAAGAGAAAGCAGCCCACCCTCAAGGGTTGATTCCGTTTATCTGACCATGACTCTGCTGCCGTCTGCCTGCATCAAGCAGCATATGAACTGAACACTGCAGGCAGGAACGGGTAGATGATGCCTGAGAAGTAATCTTTTAACAACTATCAGAAATCACATACACTTGTTTGAATGTACCTCACCTAATGTACATATAAGACACCGAAATCCAAACAAATGTTAGTACAACAAGATAAACTGCTGGCACACTTACCTAGAGCTGTGAAATCTGAGCCAGATTTGAACAGAGCTGAGGCTAAGAGTTGAAACTGTAAAGAAATACAAATACAAATTAGATTGACACACTTAAGAAAAATAACTTTGTGACTTTTCATTTGCTATAACCTGTTTTTATGCATTCATTGCACAGATCCAATCACCAAATGTTGGCAACAACCTCCAGCCCCCGCCAGCACCATTTAGATTAAAAGAAAACAATAACATGCTGATTTTTCCTTTTTATTTTTTGAAACAAAGTTTTCACTGTGTAGCCCAGACTAGCCTTGAACTCATATTCCTATCTCAACTTCCTTGGATGTCTTTAATTTTCAGATAATGTTTACACACTAATATTTTATAAGGCCCAAATGTCTTTTAGAAGTCTGAAATGGGACAAATATTCTAGACTTATCTATCTTTTAAAAAATTATTATTATTATTATTATTATTATTATTATTATTATTATTATTATTTTACTATTTTATGTGTATGGATGTTTTGGTTGTATGCCAATATGTGTACTATGTGAGTGTCTGATGCCAATGGAGACCAGAAGAGGATGTTGGATGCCCTGGAACTGGAGTTACATATGGTTGTGAGCCACCATGTGGGTGTTGGGAATTGAACCCAGGTCCTCTGGAAGAGCAGCAAGTGCTCTTAACTGCTGGTAGTAATCTCCTCAGTAGTAGTCTATATATATTTGCTCATAATATCTTTGGTTACCTCTCACAGCAGAATTAGAATGGATTCACACAAACATTCAGGAACTTGTATGATTTCTGAGAGTTTATGTTTCTTAAATGATTAATAGAATTACGACACTGGAGTTAGAGTAATTGCTGAAACATTTTTAATTACAAACTCAACTATGTAGTAAATATAGGATTCTTTAAGATACCTTATTTTTGGTGCTGGACACATGACTCAGGGGTTAAGAGCACTGGTTGCTCTTCTAGAGGTCCTGAGTTCAATTCCCACCAACCACACAGTGACTCGTAACTATCTATAATAGGATCTGATACCCTCTTCTGGTATGCAGATATACAAGTAGAACACTCATACATAAAATATAATAAAATTTTTTTAAAAAGATCTCTCATTTCTTATATTTTTGGTTGTGAGCCTAGCCTTTAACGGCTGAGCCATCTCTCCAGCCCAATTTCTTAAGTCAATTTTGATATATTACATCTTTTAAGGACTCTTCTGTCCATTACATTAAGCTCCTCAATGTGCTGATAAGGTTTTTATTGTACCTTTCTGTTACTCTTTTCATATTGCTGGGGTTCTAGTGACTTTCTTTTTTCTTGCTGTGCTGGCTGTAAAGAAAATGGTCCCCAAAGGGAGTGGCACTATTGGGGGTGTGGCCTTGTTGGAGGAAGTGTGTCACTGTGGGGGCGGGCTTTGAGGTCTCTTTTTGTCAAGCTTCCCTCAGTGTGACAGTCAGTTGACTTCCTGTTGCCTGCAAGATGTAGGACTCTTAGCTCTAGCAACATGTCTGCCTGCATGCTGCCATGCTCCCCATCATGATGATAATGGACTGAACCTCAAAACTGTAAACAAGTCACCCCAATTAAATGTTTTCTTTGTCAGAGTTGCTGTGGTCATGGTGTCTCTTCACAACAATAAAAATCCTAACTAAGACACAGGTGATGTTGACAGTTTATGTTTTCATTTTTCTCTTCACAAATCTTGATAAGAGGTTATCCATTTTATTTACTTTTTCAAAGAACCACCATTATACTTTATTTATTTTTATAGCATATTTCCTATTTCACTAACGTTCTCTTTTATCTTGAGTTTTTCTTTTTCTTTCCTAACTCCTAAAATGAAAAATAAACACTGATTCCTTGTGGGGAAATTTAAGAGAAATCTGTTCTTTTAACAAATTGACAAAGTAAGTTGAACTGATATATACTATAACATAATTTTAATAGATACCAAATTGTATTACAGTCCTTTTCCCCAAGTTTCTCAAATGTCCAAGTGCAACCTAAACACCACAAGCTGGTTGTCTCACAGGCATTTCAAATTGGACATATGTAAAATTAGGCTCCTAATCTCAGTCAGGAGCCCCCACTGAATCCAAGAGAAAAGCAATTTTCAACTTACTTCTTTTAAACTACATTTAAGTTATCAATCATATGTCCATTCTACTTTAAGTATACTCAGTCTCTAATCTATTTTTACTTCTTACCACCCTACTGTGATCTGAACTACCACAACTTATGGTGTAGATTTCCGCCACTTCTCTCATGGGTCTTCCTGGCTCTGTCCTTGTTCCCTTTTGGTCTTTCCTCAGGACAGCAGTCAGAGTGGTCTAATTAAATACAGAGATCTTATCATTCCCGTGCACCATATCTGGAACTGAATCCTTCATCATTCAAAGTAAAAGTTAAGGCTTATGAAGCCATTCATAGTCTGCTTTCCCAGTCTCTGTACACACCTCTCCAGCCTCATTTCACACTTTCCCCATCCTTCTTTCTTCTCCACTTCAGTTAGCATGGGCCCCTTACCATCCTCCTAAACCATGCCAGAGTGCTCCCATACCCCCAAGCATCTCTGTTCCAGCTGTCAGAAAATTATCTTCACTATACTATCTCTTCAGAGAACTCCCTTGTATTCAAGTCTGTGTGCAAATCTGATTTCTTTTGAGGCCTATTATGATGAACCCATTTAAGACTTCAACTGCCCCAATTCTTACCCTTATAAATTATGATCTCCTTTAGGCCCAATCCCCTGCCACTGGCTTTTTGACACAAGGTCTTATGTAGCTCAGGATGTCCTTGAACTCACTGTGTTGCTGAGGACATCCTGGAATGCCATATCCTCCTGCCTTCACCCTCCAAGTCCTGAGGCTTCAGGTGTGGGTCCTATGCTGTTCCTTTACTTTTCTTACATTACATTAGCTTCCATACTATTAACCAAACTATAACAAACTATGTAATTTGCTGACTTACTATGTCTATTATCTCCCTTAATAGGATGTTAGCACCTTCTAAACAAGGATCATTCCATTTACAAACTTATTTCCTATGCGAAGAATGCCTGGCTGCGTAAGGAATCAATACGCAGCTATTAAATGAATGAGAGCAATATTTTGTAAACATAAAAGAATTGTATAATTAGTACAAAATGTGGTCTATTAGTTGAAAACTTGTTTTCCCCACTCCTCTATTATAGTATCTTTTCTGAAAATGGCAGGCTTGAGTTTGGTATTTTTTTCCTCAAGCCTTTTCTAGAAAAAAAAATACCACCATTTTTATTAGCATATATTAATTACACATAACAGGTTGCATCAGGACATTTTCATCTATGTATAGTATTTAATGTATATATACCTAACCTTTCTAGGTCCCCTCTCACTACCAGCTGATCCTGTTTTTCTTTTCATGATTTTTGTTTTATTTTGTGGGCTTTTGTTTCTTGTTCTTTGGTGGTTGTTTCTGAACTACCATATTTTATTAGTTTGAACAAACAAACAAAAAACAGGATCCTGAGGGGATTCTTTACAAAAGTATAGGCTCAATTTCATTTTTTATAAATTTTATTAGAAGTTCATCCCCAATTCAGAACCAACATTTGAGAAAGTGAAAACAACAAAGAACCATGTTTTGATTTACAATGGTAGGCAACTATCACTGTCCTAATACTAGTTATAATACAATGATGAAGATTATGATAATTTCCACATCTATTCAAACATAAAATACTTTTGGTTACTGAGAAGCTAATTTAAATAATGAGAAAATGTGTAAAGCATACAAACAGAAAAAAAAAAAAGAAGCAACTCAGACCGCCACACCAACTCCAGTGTCGTCCGTGTGACATGAACAATTATGTCAATAATAGCAGACGGGAGATACGAGTCCCACGGGACTAAGCTCCCTGGGGTCCCTGGCAGAGTGCCCGTGTTATGCCTCCTTCTTGAAGGAGACGTGCTTCACAGATCATGAGCTCTCTGGGCTATGGGTTCTGTATAACTGCTTTTCTGATAATGTTCTAATTAATCTATAAAACACATCCAAAATTAATGAATGCTTAGGTTGTGAACTATGGGGGAAAGGGGAAGCTGGACATGGACCTTATTTAGATATAGCAGAATGAGCTATTCCTTTAAGACCCCAAGGCACTAGATAAAGAAAGTATAATAATTCACGCACTTCTAGGAAATGAACACTCACCCACTAAAAATCCTTTAGAAATCCCAACTAAAGTAATTTATAACAAAAGATGTTATCTCATAAAAGACAGATGGTGGGCCCCTCTGTTAAGGAAGTTCAGCATTAGAAACTTAAAGACTACAACAAAACCCCTTCCCCTTACAGGAGTAAAAATACAAGAGTCCATATTCCAACAGATAAAAAGTTTTATATTAAAATAGATATATGATAAAAAAAAAAAAACTTAGGGAGGATCTACAACGTCCAAATTGGCTAAATGGATCATGAAAACCAAAAAAATAAAAGTACATAATAAACTAATGAACAACTGAGATAAAGATGAAAGACACAACTACAAGAAGCCTACACAAGTCTAGGGACTGCACTAAGTTTAAAAAACACAGACTGCTCTTTGGGTCATAAAGTTCTTGTGGGTAAAGAGATATGTCTAACGCCGATTAATAATTGTATGCTTGCTGTTTTTTTTAAAGATGATGTAATTAAATTATTGCCAAGCTCTTGTTGTTTCTTGTATGATTTGATATTTTCTTTTCTGTATATAAACTACTGATTTGCAGAAGTAAAATTACAGCAGATTCAAACCACTTCGGAGGGTGTTGTCTGTCATTCGCCAAATCCTTGCCTTCCTGACTACCCAAGCTCTGGTTCCCCTACGGTCGTGGTACCCACGATGGGCCAGTCTGTGACATCAGACTGTTGGATTATAAAGTAGTTTAAAAGTTAAACTACTGCCAGGCAGTGGTGGTGCACACCTTTAATCCCAGCACTCAGGAGGCAGAGGCAAGCGAAATCTCTGTGAGTTCGAGGCCAGCCTGGGCTACAGAGTGAGTTCCAGGACAGGTGCAAAGCTACACAGAGAAACCCTGTCTCAGAAAACCAAAAAAAAAAAAAAAAAAGTTAAACTACTTATCCATTTTGAACCACATTATAGTCTCATAGACCCACCATTCCCAATATCAAGTGTTTTCTGTGTTTTGTTACACATTCAGACAGAAGAGAAGGTGAAGCTGGCTGGTGGTGGCGTTCGCTTTTAATTCCAGCACTTGGGAGTCAGAGCCAGGAGGATCTCTGTGAGTTTGAGGCCAGCCTGGGCTACAGAGCGAGATTCGGGAAAGGCACCAAAGCTACAGAGAAACCCTGTCTCGAAGAAAAAAAAAAAAAGGGTAAGAAAAGGTGAGGGTACAGTTTGTGAAGTTTAGAGATGATTCTAATGGTCACAAGCACATACCATCTCACTAACTTCTAGGGCTAAGCATTTTAGCTTTTAGAAAATGCAAAGGAAACCCGTATCATACAAAATGTGTGAGTCACAGAATATTAGAGCCGGTTACCCATATTTTAAAATGGCTACATCTGAACTTGTAATAGTTCCATGTCCTGATTTTTCCCATTAACTCTAAGAACAAACTGTTTTATTTGACCTACTTACAGCTCCCACAGCTGACACTATTTACTCTGAAACATTTTGTTTTGATCTGGTTTTTTTTAAAAAAAAGAGGAAAATAAGTGTGTCCAGTTATGGCCATTTTATATAGAACATGGAGAAAATACAAGGAAATTGATTTAGCATTCTCAATGCATGGTACAACAAAATGTCCATTAATGTATTTTCACAACTACATGGTGTAATAAATCATGGCAGATTACTAGTTTCTCAGCAAAACTACAGTAATTTCCCACATTTCAAATGGTATTAGGAATCAGGTAAACATTCAAAGAAAAACAACTTCTTGTCCCCCAAACAGAGGGCTCTAAATTGTAGTCTGCTTGTTCTATACCTAAAGAAGAAACCGCAATCAATACTGAATGAGAAGGACTGAACACGTTTTCATGGTAGGCCAGGAGAGAGTACTCTGTTTCAGTGTGGCAAACATGCAGGTTTTGTTGCCTTACAAAGACAATGATCCAGCTGGGTGGCGGCAGTGGCACACCAAAACTACACAGAGAAACCCTGTCTTGAAAAACCAAAAAAAAAAAGAGACAATGATCCTGGTGCAGGAAAGAATCTGTCAGGAAATCAAAACCCATGAGGGGAGTCAACAAGAAGGGAGAAAAGCACTCAATATTGAGTCCCCAAGGCAAAGCAAGGCGGCTCCGAACAAGGAAATGGATGTAGGGCAGAGCTGCGAGCCTCCAGCACTGGCTGGGAGGAGAAAGGCATATGACTGCAGCTCAGACTCCAGCGAAGGGGCAGGAAGAGACTGTAGGTCCAGTGCAGACACATTCACACACTGGACAGGCACATGTGCCCGTAAGAAGAGAAATCTTGAACATCTGCTTCTTCCACATGGAACAAAATCCTGAGACTCATTTCTCAAGCTTAGGAATTAGGTGAATGAGGTTAGTAGCCTATAGTCAAGTTATACTGCTAGAAGCCTCTTACAAGTAACTACTAACACTGCAAGTATTCCAAACCCACCACCCTCTCTCCACTTTCTCCATACAAAGAAGGGAAGTTTTATTCCTCTCTTAAGAGATCTTAACATCAACAGAAGTGCACACTGAACCACCGTATATAAACCTTGATGATCTATAAAAACTAAACTTAAATTTCCCTCCATAAATACAGTACTAATGTCTAATTTAAAATCTTATACCTAAAAATTCTTTTTGAATGAATCAAATGTGCCCACTCAATTTCTATTTATTTTTTTCTCTTGGATGGAAGGTATTATGAGACACTATGTGACTTAGGTTAGCCTTTAATTAGTGATCCTCCTGCCTCAACCTTCCTAATGTTGGAGTGCAGGCATTCAGCACCACACCTGGCTCTGTTCACCACATCTGTTCACTTTTTGTTTTGTTTTGTTTTTTGAGTCAGGGTTTCTCTGTGTAGCCCTTGCTGTCCTGGAACTCAATCTGTAGACCAAGCTGGCCTTGGACCCACAGAGGTCTGCCTGCCTCTGCCTCTTGGGATTAAAGGTATGTGCCACCACCGAGGGCTGCCTGTTGACTTTTTATTTCACCCATTTTTTATTATCCAAGATTAGAGCATATTTTCTTCATTTCCTTTAAGCACTCAAACTAGAAAAACATTTAAAAGAATATTCCACTTCTAAATTTTACTCCCCTCTTTACCTCTTTTGTCTCTTCTGGGTCTGAATGATCCACAGTTATATAAAGATCATTCTGTAAATACTTCAGAGCACTAAGAGGATCCATCTGGGCCTTTTCTTCAAACCTAGAAAATACAAAACAAGGGAAACAATTACTTTGAGTTATGAGAAATGCCTTTAAGACTTGAAGAAAGGTATACTGCTTAGAGATGAACTATTCTGGGTATCTAGAAAACTTTGTGAGGATCCAGAAGAATTAAGAATTCTCCCATGCACAGTACAAATGTCAGGTCCATAGAGATGCAACAGAAATGCCATGTGGCAGCCAGCTGGGCTGCTAGAAAGTCCGTGACGGCACTTCTTACCTTCCCTACGAACCGTGGTGTGCAGGCTGGCGAGAGGGCTCAGCAGACGGTCCTTGCCACCTCGTTTAGTGAGCCGAGTTTAATCCTCAGAACTGACCTCCCTAAGTCGTCCTCTGTCCTCCACACACACACTGCAGTGTGTGCACACCCCTAACTGTGCACACATACTCACATAACAACTTTAAAAGACCCCAATGTGTCACATCAAAACCACGTAGATAGAGACTAAAACTGCTTTCTGAGACTAACAGACTAGACTTTCTGATGGCTCTGATAGTTCTTAACAGTTTGGAAGTTGAAATGAATAAGGCACTTAAAAAAGAATCAATTTTCTAATTAAAAAAATTATGTGAAGAAGTGTTTTGCCTGCATGTATATATGTGTACCCACATGTATGCCTGGTGCCCAGAGAAGTCAGAATACCAGATCCCTTGGAATTAGAATTACAGACAGCAGTCCAAGTATGATACTTTTAGTAAGTACCATTAGCACAGGTTAGATTTTTTTTAAGTGAATATTTACCTTAAATTAAAAAAAAAAAATTTTCCCTCTTTCCTCCCTCCAATTTTTCCCATAATCCCCCCCTCCATCTCAAATTGATGGCCCACTTTTTCTTTGATTATTATTGTTACATATATATGCATAAATATATAAAATAAGGTTTGCTAATTTCATTTAGTGTTGCTTATATATGATTCCAGGGCTGATCACTCAGTATTAGACAATCAATAGGGATCATCCCTGAAAAACACTAATTTTTCCACTCTCAGCATTCCTTAGCTACCTGGTTCTTGCCTAGGGACAATACCTTATGAGATTTCCCCCTTCCCTGTGAGCACGTCTGTGGCATTGCCATCATTTAGGTCTTGTTTAGGAAACTACATATTGTTGAGGTATCATGGGTGTCACTTCCTTGTCATTTCTAGGACACAATCTCACAGCAGACTTCTTGGTCCTCTGGCTCTTACAATCTTTCTACCCTCTTCCATGATATTCCCTGAGCCAAAGGCAATTGTCTCAAGCTTGATCAGCAGCTTATCAAGTGACGTGGCAGAATCCTTCCCAATAGGGACACTCTTTAAAGAACTCTCTCTTAAGAGAACCAAAAGATGGATATATAAGGATGTAGTGGTTTGAAAGAAAATGGTCCCCAAAGGGAGTGGCACTATTAGGAGATGTGGCCTTGTTAGAGTAGGTGCTGTCTTGTTGGAGGAAGTGTGTCACTGTGGAGGTGGGCTTTGAGGTCTCATATATGATCAAGCCAGGCCAGTGAGACAGTTCACTTCCTGTTATCTGCACAAGATGTAGAACTCTTAGCTACCTCTCCAGCACCAGGTCTGTCTGCATGTCACCATGTCCGACCATTATCATAATGGACTGAACCTCTGAACTGTAAGTCACCCAATTATATGTTTTCCTTTATAAGAGTCGCCTTGGTCATGGTGTCTCTTCACAGCAATAGAACAGTCATTACGACAAAGGACATATAAAAAGCAGACACAGAGGAGGGAGTAGGCTGAAGTCATAAAACAGTCAGTCTATCAGCCAACCTGCCTACCTGCCTGCTCTGAGGCCCAGGGAAAGCAAAGTCAGAAGAAGCCAGCTGAACAGGAGGACACAATGAAGGAAACAGAACTGTTCTAGCTTCACACACAACTCTCCATTTGGCCTCATTACTAAAATGCAGAGAAGGTACCTTAGTGCCTGGGCTATCACTAAAATAACTGTTTCAACTGAATTATCCTAGGCATACCTCAATCCTCTGCAATGTGAAATAAACTCAAATTTAACTTTCCATTCTATTAAGTTCATTAAGAAATCAATTTCCTGGAAGTTATGTCTTCCCTCTTGTTTGTGAGTTTGTTGTTTCCATCCTGGGCCGCTGCTACTGTTCTTGTTCTTGTTGTTGTGTTGTTGTTCTTCTTCTTCCTCCTCCTCCTCCTCCTTCTCCTCCTTCTTCTTCTTTAATATCTAAATTTATTATGTATAGTGTTCTGCCTGCATGTCTGCCTGCATGCCAGAAGAGGGCACCAGATCTCATTACAGATGGTTGTGAGCCACCATGTGGTTGCTGGGAAATAAACTCAGGACCCTTGGAAGAGCAGCCAATGCTCTTAACTGCTGAGCCATCTCACCAGCCCCTATCCTGGGCTTCTTAACATGTAAAAAGTGCTCCTGTAGTCTAGAATTGTGTTTAACCAACAGTTCTTCCCTACTGTTAAACATGAATTTAATGCTTTAAGAAGTCTCGCTCCTTTCTACACACAAGTCGTCATCCAGTTTAGAAGATATTATATGAAAAGTTAATGGTGACACTTTATTTATATCCTTGGCTCACAAGATACTTCTTTTCCTCAAAATCTATATGTTAATTAAATAGAACAAGTAACTTTCCACAAGAAAAACAAAAAGTCATGACCTAGTAGTACAGGGTAGGCATCTATATAATCAAAGACTGTCTAATTAATATGCCAATTTCTATCCAAATGTATTACAGAAATAAGCTCTATTCTATATGTAATATAGGAAACGCGTAAGTTTAGCTACAGTTGGCAGAAGAAAAGCTCTCCGTGTTTTCAAACATTTCAAGTGGGCCTCCTATTATCCGTCTGACAACTGTGGTAGACCAATGTTCCAGGGTCACCCTGGACACCTCTTTGTCTCAGAGCCACACCCAAACCACCACAGCTTCTATCTGTAGACCGTTCACTGTTCAGAAACTCACTGTCTGGTCTCAATCCCTCCCGTGCTGTGCCTCCAGACACACCAAACATCCTTACTACTCTCCTCAATCTGCACCTTCTCCCTCTCTGCTGATGACTCAATGACGTAATGTCAGCCCAAGGCATTTCTTCAAATGTTCACAGATGCCTTCTGTGTTATATAAAAGCTTCCCAAACTGAACTTAGCCTTCCCAATGTACATACTGACCGTTTCTAAAGAATTCTGTATGACCTTATACCCCGTTTTTTGATCATTCTGAATGTGTACTCATCTTTGAAAATCTCACAGCTCCTATTTCCCGGCCTTGCAGAACTTGTCCCTCTCTGTCTCTTCAGCCTCATCTGTCACTGTCACTTCACTCCTTCCACGTCTACACAGTCCTCCTCAAACCATGTAAGCATGGCAACACCTTTAACCCCAGAGCCCTGCCTATTTTCTGGAACATTTCCACCTTAAATAGCTGCTATTTCTTCAAAGTCTTTGGGTGGAAACTTTAAAACAAAATCACTTATTTTTACTGAAGAAAACACCCTCAGCTCCCTCACAAGTACGAATAATAGTTTTTGAGATGTTCTGTTTATCCTGTTCCTACTACCCAGCATATACTTACTGTTAGGTTCCACTTCTAAGAGTGGAACTTGAGAGCAGGAATTTTTGGATTCTTCACTGACACATTCTTGGAGGCTAGGCCCATGTCTGCCACACATAGGTGCTCAATAAGTATTTTTGCAATAAATGAACAATTTTATTAATGCTTTTAAAGACTCTATGTGGTTGGCTGCTTTTAGCATTCCACAAGTGATTCCAGAGAGGTCAAGATAGACAATTTAGTAAGAAGGAATAAATAAAAAATAATATATACTATTATATTGGGATGTAACTCAGTCATAGCATGCTTGTCTGGCATGCATAGGGTCTGGTTCAATAACCAGTACTAATGAACGAACAAACGAATAAATGTAAAACTTTAAAAAGACAAAATAAATATGTAATCAAGGTCCCTTTTCCAATATTAGACATTAGCTATCAGAACAAATGCCAAAAGCAACCTTAAGAAGGAACTGAGTTCTCATGCTGCATATGTTTATGCCACTATTATTACTTTAAGAATCTGCATGGACAGTGGGCCTTTATACATTAAGTTCTGTCTCAAGGACTTTGTGGCATAAGTTCTGAGATGAATTAGCAGTTCTTTTCCCACAGGAACAAACTGCTGATCACAAACTTTCAATTTCAGTTACTTTATTTTGTGAATTGATTTCATGCTCTTAAAAGTTTGGTAGAGGATCCTTTCCTTTTTTCCTTTATCCATTCCATTCATGACATGACTACCATCTCTTCTCATAAACTGGGACCCTACCTGCCCATCAAAAGTGTTGTAGTTGTTATTTTGCAGTGATGAGAACAAAAATTAGGGCTAGGAAGAAGGTGTACCACTGAGCTTTATCCCTGATCCAGAAATAAGTTTAAAGAAGGAAGACAAATGGCTACAATTTAAAAAAATTCTTGGGCTGGCATGAGTGTTGGAAAATGAATGATCTTTGTATTTCTAGAAGAAATGAAAAGTAACTTCCTGGAGAACATTTTGACAAACCATCACTTATATCACTTTTTGGGATAAAAATTACAGAGTTACCTAAAATATCTAGTAAGCTGATGTAACCCAAAGATTCTAATAAAAGGAGACTAGTCAATTACACATAAAACAGAATACTATGTAGTATTACATGACTAGAACTTATACTTCCTCTAACCCCGAGATAGGGTTTCTCTGCATAGCCCTGGCTGTCCTGGAACTTGCTCTGTGTACTAAGCTGGCCTCGAACTCAAAGAGATCTGCCTGCCTCGGCCTCCCGAATGCTGGGATTAAAGGCGTGCGCCACCACTGCACAGCCGCACTTGTACCTGTAAACATATTAACAATGTTTATGGTAATTCACATTGTTATTTGTTGTAGTTTGAATGTAAGTGGCTCCCATAAGCTCACAGCAAGTGGCACTATTAGGAGGTGTGACCTTGCTGAATTGGGTATGGCCTTGTTGGAAGAAGTATGTCACTGTGAGGTCAGGTTTTGAGGTTTCCTATGTTCAGAATACTGCCCAGTGTCTCAGTCAACTTCCTGTTGCTTGCAAGATGTAGGACTCTCAGCTACCTCTTCAGTACCATGTCTGCCTGCACATCGCCATGCTCCCCACCATGAACCTCTGAAACTGTAAGTGAGTCACCCCAATTAAATGTTTTCTTTATAAGAGTTGTCATAGTTATGGTGACTCTTCACAGCAATAAAAAAAAAAAAAAAAAAAAAAAAAAAAACCTAACTAAGACACTCATTGACTCAAAGGAATAAGACTCCTATTTTTTCAGTTAAATAAAGCCTATATGTACACATATATGCAATAAAAATTTAAAGGCTATAACCAAGTATCAAGTTACTATTTGTATGCACTACTTTCTTCATTAAAATCTAAAGGGAAGGCTGGGGAGCTAGTTCAGTGGGTCAAGTGCTTGTTAACAAGCAAGCATGGGGTCCTGAGTTTAGACCTCCAGACCCCATGTCAAAAGCCTGGAGTGGCAGCGCACACCCACTGGGAGGTGGAGACAAGGGGGCTCTATGGAGCCAGTCTAGATGAACGGCTAGCTCACCTCAGACCGTAAGCCACAAAAGTTCTTGAGACAGAATTTAGTGTATAAAGCCCACCATCCATTCAGGTTCTTTACATAGAGTGATAGTAGTGGCATAAAAACACACAAAATGCTTTCTTATGGCTCCTTTTGGCATCTGTTTGGACAGCTAATGTTCAATATTGCAAAAAGGACCTCAAGTACATATTTATTTTGTCTTTTAAAATCCTACTGATTTTTTTGTCATGTAGACCAGGCTGGCCTTGAACTCACAGAGATCCACCTAACTTTGCTTCCTAGGTGCTGGGATTAAAAGCTTGAGTCATTTCTCTGGGCTGCATCAGAAGACTTTTAAGAGTTAACTAAATTTAACTTTCCACCTACCAGTTGTTCTAGCTGAAGCAGAAAAAGCAGCACTATGGTTTCTGAATTTATGTTGCCCTTTTGTAAACAAAGCAAACACTAAGTAAGATTTTAAGAAGTGAATTTCAGCAACTAGCCCAAAGTGCCTCAAAGTTTAAACCTTATTATAGTCCATTCTTTGTCATCCTGACTGAAAAGGCAGACCTCCTCTTCTGAGATCCAATAGGAAATAAACTTGTTATTTACAGGGATGCCTCAAAGGAGCTTCTGCATTAATTTTTCTAAAATACAACTTGTGAAAGTAGGGAAAGATAAGTAATTAAGCATATGGTTAAAAAAAACCCCTCAGACTTGCTTTGTACATATGCAGACATTTTAGGCAATTATCTTTTACATAAAACCTAATACATAAATATATGTGATAAACATAAAAATGTACACATTAGGTGTACATGCATACCTACAAACATATAACATGCATAGCAGTTACATGGAGCTCTCTGTAGTCAGAAAGGTCAGGATCAAACCTCACTTTGCCACTTCAGCTGAGTGACCTTATGAGTTAGTTATAGAAGTCATTTAAAAATTGCCTCAGTTTTCCCCTTTGACAGAAGAGTGAAAATGGCAGTTTCCACTCTACTATCTAATTATGAGACTAGGAATCAGAGACCAACATGCAGTAATTAATAAATGATGACCTTCTTCCAAAACACAAGTTAGCACCTAAGACTGCCAGTAACCCAAATGACAAGCACATTTCTACATTTTTAGTGGCTTGCTACTTGCTAAGACTAAATCATGTCTAATCAATCACAACCTTAAAATCATTTGGCAATCGATATTTTTTTCTGTCAACACTTGTAAAATTATACTTGCTTATTAAAAAATTAGCACCTGCCTGTATGTATCCTTACTGTGTATCTTCCTTTGAAATGAAGAACAGACATTTACAAAATCCAGTATCTCAGAGCACTTGACTATCTTCTTTAACAGTTAGAGTGAGAGAGCCGCATCCGATAGCTAAGTCATACCAAGAATAGCTGACGATGCTAATTAAAGACAGTTAAAAAAAAATCTTTTGAGACAGGGTCTCACTATGTAACTCTGGCTGTCCTGGAACTCACTATGTAGACCACACAGTCCTTGAACTCATAAAGATCCGCCTGCCTCTGCCTCCTAAGAGGTAGTATTAAAGGTGTGAGCTACCACACCCAGCTTAGTCAATTAGATTTATACCTGTGTTTTCTTATGAGGTACTTGCAATGCCTCAGTAAGTAATCTTTAGAAGGTCTACACAACTTCAGTGACCAGAAGTCATCTAGTCTCATCTTTGGAGAGCAAGATTTTCCTGGATTTCCACCAAATAAATAATGAACCTATAAGAAACACAACAAACCAGAATTTAAAGAACTCATACATACTCAAAAGACTACAGAGCTCATAAGGAAATGTCTTCTTTCAGAAGTACGTGATTGCTAACTCTCTTTGCCTTATTCATTTGACAATTTTTTAAATTGATACATTCTTATCAAAGGTTTCCCATGATTTTTCTTTATTCCATTTCACTCTAAAGCTCTTTCCTAAACTACATGTGTATTAAAATCATACTATTAGAATTTTAATGATAAATGGAAAATGAAACAAAAACCACGGTAGGAATAAGCTAATCCAACACATATTTTAGAGAACTACAAATAAAAGGGTTATCTAGTTAATTGTTGGTCAAAATAAATAAAAAATGCAATATTTGAAAGAATTCTGACATGAATTTTAAATAGAATCATTGAAGGTCAAGAGTATATTAAAACTTCAGTAAAAACTTTAACATCTTATTTTGATTTAACCTAAATGTCAAATAGTAAAAGACATATATAACTTTCAGAATATTATCCATTATTTAATTAATACTAAACAAGAAATGTAAAGGATTACAATAGTGATTTCACCATTACAGCAGAATTTTAATGTTATTCTACATTTATACTAAACATTAAGATATTTCCCTGAAGATTTGAAAACATTTATATTCATAGTATTAAAAAAGATATACTATTTCTAGCCCACCAAACAAAAATTATTCCTAGCCCATTGGATGAAAATTCTTCACTACCCCCTTAAGTTGGAAAATTCTGGGAGTAAGGGCTTGTATTCATTTCTATGTTATCTTTCATCCGAAGGTTTCAAGATATCTAGCACAGATTTTAAATGCTCATCTGTGGCTTAAACAGAAAAAGTTTGCTCTGCCAGTAAGTTTCAATACAATCTGAGTCCAGTTGCTAAATTACACATGAAATTTAAGGGGAAAATACTTACAGAAACTACTCTGTGAACATTTAGTGATACAAAAAATTATTTTCACAATGCTGGTAAACAGAGGTCATTTATATAAGAAATATATAGATGAAATGACTTCTTATACAAGTGGAAAATCTAATGCCTGGAAAGTTATATACTTGTTCCTTTTCATTTGCAAAGTCTTCAGTTGCAAAAACTTCATGTTCTACTTGGATATCCACAACATATATTCAATGACACATGTTATAAATCTGTTCTATGAAGCGACAGAGACACTTCACTGACAATTTTCAAAACAGGAAAAATGTTACAGTGTGATCTCATCATATGGATGTAAGGCAAAGGAATCTGGAGTTTGAGACTAGCCTAGGCTACTTAGTGAGACCCTGTTCCAGAGAAGGGGAAAAAAAAAAAACAAACAACTTAAGAGACAAAAAGTGTCAAAAATTACTATGGACCATACAAAATGATTATTCTCTTGAAGAATTTTGGGAAAAAACTGGGGCTAGTGGTACAGTCTTGTAATTCTAGCTACTAGGAACGCTGAGGCAGTAGGATTACAAACTTTGCTTGGGCTACAGAGTGAGTTCAAGTACAGCCTGGGGAACTTACCCAGTGTCAAAATAAAAAGTAAAACAAGGGCTGGGGACAGATATACAGTGTACAGTGCAGTGGTTGGATGCTTGCTTAGCATATGTGAGGCTCTAAATTCAATCTTGCGTGTGTGCGTGAGTGGGGGGAGAGGGTTTAAAAAGAATAATATTGAATGCCTGCTACATATTCTATTAAATGTCTGCCTCTGTATTAAAACTTTTCATTCAAATCCACTTAAAAACAATTAGAAATAAGATCTATTCAGGGACATTTTCAGACTGTAATTCATAGAAAATGTATAGGTCAAAGTGGTTAGCATACCTTGTGTAATTCGTCATAAACGAGCTGATGGGCAAACCTTGGACATGGTTCTTCTTCCTGAAGACTTTTACTCAGATTCTCTTTTGCAGCTTGATCATTCTTATAGACACAAGACCTGGAAGACACTGCTCTTAAGACACTGTACTTCAGAGGATCAGCAGCAACCACACTGTTTATACAATCAGAGCCAATAAGCTGACTCTCAATGCCCAACTAGCAACAGAAAAAATGTACACTTGTCACATTCGAGTGCAAAGTCAGTGTGTAAAGGGACACACACTTGTTAGAACTACTTCTGACATTTCAAAATAGCTCACTTCACAACAACCTATCTTGTGCTTTTAAATATGAACTGTACACACGAAGTGCTAAAAGTGAAGAGGTGTTGTACTGTGTACTCACAGTAGAAGACTCAAGCACACTCTCTCTCTGAATGCAAACAAAACGTCTTCCTCAGAAAACAACAGATCCCACAGTTGCCGAGCATACTGCCATAGAAAATGGAGCTGGTTCTTGGAAGTGTTTCTGTTGTCACTGAACACCAGAGCTGGGTCTTCTGCAACTGTTCCCCAAGCAGAACATGCAGCATCTGCTCTGCCAGATGCTCTGGGACAAATCTTGGCTTAGAAATGCTAAGTCAAACCTACCCTTCACCAGCACTAGGACAGGGGATGTTATTAGCTTCAACTTTACCTATCTACTTGGTGATAACCTAAAGTGAAATACAACTAACTCTTTAAAGCCCCAGAACAGGAAGTATCAGAAAGCGAACAACAGAGTAAAATCCCACTCATTTAATGTCACTGTGTACACAAGTGCTGATCTTATCAACAACACTGATTTCTTTAAGTTACTGATATTTTAGGCCAAGTGGAGTGGCTTACACCTCTAATCCCAAGCAGAAGCAAGGAAATCATGAGTCCAAGGCCAGCTGAGGCTATACAGTAAGTCTGTCTCAAAATATGCAACAAACCTGAGTATTCTTTCACTATCACAAATTAATACACGCCTCCCACTATGCTCATTTTTAAATAAACTATGATAAATAAATTTCATGGAAATATCACTGAGATTGCAGCACAACAAGAGTCCTTACCAGCTATTCCTCACAATGTCATAAATCCAGAAGGAATTTCTGACATTCTCTTCCCTCTTTTCTTTGTCTTTGCTGAGTCCAGATAAGACATGTATTTCATTCAGTTCTGGATCAATAGTTGCTCTCTGTGTGAATCCTGTCATTGGTACTAAAAATGGAAGGAATATATAAGATGGCAATATTTACAATCAACAGCAGATTAGTACTAATTCATGGCACATCTTCATTTTGCTCTATATGCCCACTGTATTTATTTTTTTTAACACACCTCACAGCCTTTTGTATTAAACAACAGACATTGTTTACAGCCTTCCTCCTGCTCTAGAATGTGAGTGACATAAAGGCAGAGGTTGCTTTGCTCATTACTTGGTTCTCGGTGTCTAAAATAGAACATATACACACATACATACATAGAGAAGGGGAGGGGAGAGGAGGAGGAAGAAAAGGGGGAGGGGGAGAGAGAAGGAGGGATGAGAAAGAGAGCACGCAAGTGAGTATGTGCACAAGAATGAGCACTAGAATAAGAGTGCAAACGACTTTAAAAACGGAAAGGCAACTTACAGAATGAGAACGAAGATTTGCAAGTCATATATCTCAAAGACTTGTGTCCAGGGTACATCATTTAGAACTCATTCTTAATTGTAAAACAAGTAAAGCATTTCCAAGAGTATATAGAAGCGGTCAACAGGCACAGTAAATGGTACTTAATATCATTAGGCCTTAAGAAGCACAAATCAAAACCATGATACAATACTATTTTATGCAGGCAAAGGGACATACATCCCTATAATCCTAGCACTCAGGAGCTAGAGATCAAGACTAAGGTTGAGGGGAGGTAAGGGGCTGTCATGCCCAGTTCTGGCTTTCAGAGCACTTAATACACTCACTACACACATCATTTCTCCTTGCAGAATCTCCTTGCCCTCATGTGATTACAACGTCAACAGAATGTTTGCATCTCTAACTGGGGATCTCAATTGTTAAAAAATTTGCTCTATGATTTCAAACAATACAATGTAAAACTCACATTGTAAATGCAGTTTTAATCAAATAACACACTTGAGTGAAGCACAAACATGTAATTATATATTAAGTCCATCTCAAATTACAGTAATTAACTGAAATACAAAAACTAAAAAAAAAATAGCTAATAAGCACTGGATTGGCTTAATACATTACAAAACATCTACATAATGGGTAAAATTGGTGTTTTCTAGGAACATTTGATAATGTGGGAATTTAAATAGTGTTCCACTTCATTACTAAAAAAAATTTTAGTGCCTTAAAAGCTAAGTAGTGCCCTAGTGAGATAAAACAAAAGTTAAGTGTACACTGGTTAAAGTGAGGTAAAAGTAATTCTGTGCAAATACAATACTTCTTGATATGAGGTTTTCTGAATAATCTAACTTTGTGCAGTATATTTTAAAAGGAGATTTAGGGTATCAAAGATACCTTGAAAGATGGATGCTCTTTAAAGAAATTCTGAATAAAATATGTGTCCCTCCCCCAGAGTTTTTGCAAAGCCTCTGAAATGCAGAGTCAAGGATGCACCTGTAACAGTGTTAGCAATTAAGGCCAGAACCACACATGTGAAGTCCTAACCTGTCTTGAGGAGTTAGGAAAGAATTTCAAGAGACCAAAATTTATAAGGTAAGATCTGAGAGGTGATCAAAATTAGATTTGAGAGGTAAGATGGAAAAACTGGGGAACAGCATGGTAGAAAGTTTGAAGACAAGAAAACGCACGTTATCTCTAAAGGTCCTACTCGGTGCTGTGAGACAAGCAGTACAGGAGAAATGCAGGGAGAAGGGAGGCCGGAGCCGCAGAAGGAAGGCAGGCCGGGGCTGCAGAAGGAAGGAAGGCCGGGGCCACGGAGGGAAGGAAGGAAGGAAGGAAGGAAGGAAGGAAGGAAGGAAGGAAGGAAGGAAGGAAGGAAGGAAGGAAGGAAGGAAGGAAGGAAGGAAGGCCGGGGCTGCGGAAGGAAGGAAGGAAGGAAGGAAGGAAGGAAGGAGGGAGGGAGGGAGGGAGGGAGGGAGGGAGGGAGGGAGGGAGGGAGGGAGAGAAAAAGGAAGGAAGGAAGGAAGGAAGGAAGGAAGGAAGGAAGGAAGGAAGGAAGGAAGGAAGGAAGGCTGGGGCAGCAGAAGGCAGCCAGGGCTGCAGAGCTAAGCTTCAGCCCATTAGCCAGGCTGTTTCCAAACAGATTCTTCTTATCAGAATTAGCTCTAATCAAAAAGTCAGATCAACTTATTTCTTTGTCTTCTCCACGCACAAAAAGAGCATATAAAGACAGAACCCTGGTAAGTGACCAAAAACCATCTACAAATCAAACGTTCGGCTATGGTTTTGTCCTTCCTAAGTCCTGCAGTAGAGAATGGGTTGGAAAGAGCTGAGGCCCATGGGGAGAAGGCGACAGAGGGCAGATGGGTGAGGCAGCCCAAACTAGTGCAGAGTAAAGTGGCAAGGGGCACAGGGACACGCTGTGAAAATGAGGTGACATGACGGTTACTGGATGACTCAATGTTCCCTGAGGGTGGTGATGACATCTTCTGGAGAAAACTGAGATACTCAACAATACCAGCCAAGCCTGAGGGTCAGTCAGCGCACCTCCACTCAGGGAGGCTGATAGGCCACCGTTTTTCTTCAAATGAACCCTGGTCATCTACAAGTGCAGATGCAGTCTGAGGCACTAGGTCAGCCTAGCTGACTAAAGACTGAAAGAGGACCTGAGAGCTAGCCCTGAGACTCTCAATCCCTGCCAGGTATAGTCCTCTTAAGAGTAAGAGGGAAAGCAGAAAGGGAGAGCATGAGAAAGGGAGGAGGAAGGCAGGAAAAGGAGAAGGAAGGAGCAGGTATAGATGGGGGCAGGCAAAAAAAAGGTAAAAGATGCATTTCAGTTTCACTCTGATAGGTCAATGGAGCCCCTATGTTCTTCAGTTCCAAGCATGACTCTATATACTGAGTTTTAGGTGGGAACATTTTCTGCCAGAAAAGTTCTCAGTAAAATACTGTATATGTATATATAGTTGGGAGCTTTTCGAGCAATGAAATTCTTAGGATTATGGTAAAAATCAGCCACTTGGAAATATATCCTTAAACAAAACTGGTATCTTCAAAAGAAATCAAATATAGACCCAGAAATTAAATCCTTCAATAACTTTTTATTTAGGGGGAAAAAAAAATCTTCATTTGTGAGGTTCTTCCTAATTCTCTACTCCTCATCGTCTGTCTTGAAGATTCCCTCTGCAGAGATGGTTTCCCAAACTACATTATCTAAATGGCATGCTCATGCTACTCATTAGAACAGCCTCCAACTTCTTTTCTTTGTAGTGCTCAGATCACAACTGCAGGTCATTCTTCACTAGAATATGAACTTTCTGATTTAGCTTAATCCCCACTGGTGCCTAAAACAACCCTTGGTAAATAGAAGACAGTGGACTATTTGAATGACTATTAAATGCTAGTAAACAATTAACAAATACTATTACACTAATGAATGGATTTGTTTGCTTTGTGTGGTTAATTTCCTATAAGCCAATTAAAAAGCAAACAATGCACAGCAGACCTGTAACTCTGATTTTGGAAGAGTTAACTAGAGCAGTGACTACTGAATGAGGTAACTGGCCTTCTGTTTCTTTTAATTCAGCAATAAAACTATGATAAAGAAAAAAAATCACCACAAAAAAGCCAATGTAAACTTTAAAGTATTAGAAACAAAATTTGATGCAAACACCTGTTTAAAAGATTAGGAGATGTAGCCAGGCAGCAGTGGCGCATGCCTTTAATCCCAGCACTCAGGAGGCAGAAGCAGGCGGATCTCTGTGAGTTCAAGGCTAGCCTGGTCTACAGAGCAAGATCCAGGACAGGCACCAAAACTACGCAGAGAAACCCTGTCTTGAAAAACCAAAAAAAAAAAAAAAAAAAAAAAGATTAGGAGATGCATCAAAATGTCAAAAGACTATCTCTGAATGGTTGGATTTTTTTTTTTTTTTTAAATCATTCTGGTTTGGTTTTGTTGTTGTAGATTCTCTACCAGAAGATCATTACTTTTCTAATTACAACAACAACAAAAAGAACTGCTACAACTTTGCTAGTCATGACTCTGATTAAGGATAACAAAGTTGTAAATAACTACAAAATTGTTACTAATTTAAATGCTTTAAATTACAGTCATTACATTTATTACAGTTTAAAAAAAACCCTTTTTTTAAAAAAGTAGCTTTCTTCCACTATTCCTCTTTAACACCCTTTTCTTCTAGTTTTCAGAAGTGGTTCCATACAGAGAAAATAGAATATTTTCCCTCAATATTCTTAAATCTCAGATCTATCGCCACATAGTTGTGTTATGCTCAATGTGTTATTTAACCATTCCAGAATAATACCACCAATAAAAGATAATCTGGGAATATAGTAGGGTCTAAATGAACAACAGCTTCCTGGGACCAGGGATGGAGCTTAGTGTCTGAGCACAAAACTGAGAAATGACAACATCAAAAAAAATATGTAAAGTTAGGATTGTCCATCAAACTACTATTTACTAGCCAGGCTACACTTGGAGAGAACATAACTGCCCCTGTTCCAGACATATATCCTCTCATACACTGAGACAATATACTACAGTTTTCAATGTACTCGTCCTATCACCCTTGAGGCTTTTATAGGGAGAGCTGATTCTGTCCCCAACCTACTCCAGGGGATGTCAGGGAATCGAGAATAACTCTGTCAGACAGGTAATACATGTCTCTCCACACTACCCAACTGCAGTAACAGAAGTGAGTGAGTAAGCAGGGTGGACGACTCGGTGCAGGTGAGCAGTTATCGGCCACCTATGCGCCTATTCTGAATCGTAAGCTGAGGCTGCTACTTCAGATGTCGCTAAATGACTTTCTGTCTCAGTACACTTTGACTACATGTACACTATCATCCCAGTAAATCTTAATTTCAATTTTTTGTTAAGCTGATCGTAGTTTTGTATTATATTGTTTAAAAAATCCCAGCACTTGGGAGGCAGAAGGCAGGCAGGGTCTCTGAGTTCAAGACCAGCCTGGTCTACAGAGTGAATTCCAGGACAGCCAGGGTTACACTGAGAAACCCTGTCTCGAAAAACCAAAAAATAAAAAAATTAAGAAAAAGTGTGGCTCACTTAGGGCCAAAACATTCACTGTGATGATGTCTTTTTTTTTTCTTAAAATTTTGTGGGTTTTTTTCTTTTTCCTATTGTGTTCCTATCTCCAATCTTTTATATCACATGCTATCTGCCTGTTAGTATTTCTTATTGAAAATGTTCAAATGTATCTTTAAGTCTACTTTACATCTACTTTCACCTCTGTGCCCTGCTGTTCCTGCTCACTGGGCCACATCTTGGGAATCCCTTTTGTTTTCCTACATTGGATTTTCTTTTTTCCTAGCTTCTGTGGTTTCTCTTTTGCTACTTCTATTGTTTTGTTAGCATATTCGGTAAAGTCTCTTTCTAAAGAACAGTATATAAAAAGTCGAACGTTTTCACATGTTGAGACAACAGCCATTTCTAAACCCTTTCCCTCACACCCTCAACTCTTGCTCCCAGACTCTGCAGTGAAGCCTGACTTCACACTTCTAGCTAATGAAATCTAAGCAGAATCCCACTGGCAGCTGTCAGGACAAATTCTGTGATCTCTGCCCCCAGGCAAAGGAGGGATGTTTCAAGTGCTTCAAGTGACTGAGGTAGTTAACACCAACTATAAAGACAGGGCCGCAGAAGAGTCGGCCTGCAGCCCTGGAGACACCCCAACAGTCTACTATGGACTTCTTGTTCTTAGATGACTCTGGAACTGTTTAAACTGCTGTCTGATGGGACAGTTCTAGAAGGCAAACATGGATTTACCTAGTAGATCCAGAAATATTGCTCCTCTCCTTTTTACATTATTTTGGCTAAGAAAAAAATTCCAGTTTTTAGTAATTTTTCCAGGATTTTTCCAAAGATCCTCTCCTTTATGTTGAAGCATCCAATGCCACTAAGAATGTCTAGTCATTCTAGGTCCTGCTTCTCTGAGTGCAACTCATGTTGCTGCAGAAGCATTTAAGAAGTCAAGTCCTCTTTTCTGCCAGAATTATAAAAATGCACTATAATATACAATGATCTGCCATTAGTAGCCAGAGAACTTTTTGGCTTTCTGAAGATTCAACCAATTATTTTTTTATAGAGTGCCATTTATAACCTGAAGACCAATGTTCCGAGTTTGAGGAAATTTTCAAGTATTTATTTCCACTTCCTCCATTTACTTTGTTCTCTGCTGTTGGGAAAACTCCAGGGATGCCAGGCTGCAGACCTGCACTGACTCGGAGGCAAGGCTCTAAGACCACCATTCTACTGGTGGTCACAAAGAAGAAAGCACAGAAAATAGGCCTTTAGCCTGCACTCCAGCAGGGGAGATGTGAGCACAGGTCCTGGAGTCATTAAATGACTCCACAGTTGCTGCTGTTTTTCTCTAGTGTTGTCTTTCTTTTGAAATCCTGATGTATTACAATTGTGTGCTTGTGAGTGTCTGCAGGGTCAGTTCTCCTTCCACCAGGAGGTCCAGGGATGGAGCGCAGGCCATCTGGTTTGGACTGCAAGGACTTGACCCACTGAGCCATCTCACCAGTGCAGCTTCTCTTCTTTATTTGTTTTGTTTTTTGTTTGGTTTTTTGAGACAGGGTTTCTCTGTGTAGCTTTGCGCCTTTCCTGGAACTCACTTGGTAGCCCAGGCTGGCCTCGAACTCACAGAGATCCGCCTGGCTCTGCCTCCCGAGTGCTGGGATTAAAGGCGTGCGCCACCACCGCCCAGCAGCTTCTCTTCTTATATGTAAACAATTTTAATTAAAAGAAGAGGTTTACTCAATACAGTGCCTATAAACGAGACATATAACGTACGTATTTGTGGCTACACGTGTGTTGGGGTGAGGGGTGTCCATGTGTGTTAGTGTCTGGGCATTTTCTTCTATTGTTCTCTACCTTATTAGTGTTCTGATACAGAGTCCCATTGATTCGGCTGGACTGGCTGACCAGCAAGCGCCAATGATCTGCTTGTTTTAGTCCCCCAGCACCGGGGTTACAGACACACACAATCATGCCTGCCTTTTAAATGGGTGCTGGGCATCTGAACTTGGGTCCTCATGCCTGTGTAGCAGCAGCCCTAACACAAGTATTTAAAAATTTATTTTGTAAAAGTACCATTGATAAAAGGATCTTTTTTATATATGGCAGTTAAAAATGAAAAGCAAGCTGATCTCATTTCTAACCCCAGTGCCAAACTGGGCCTTAATCAAATCTACTCTTCTGGATATAATATTCACAGGTAAAGCAATTAGTGTGTTGGTTCAATGAAAATTATCAAAATAAGACTTTTAAAATTATAAGCACAGTGTATTACTAGCCAGGCCAGGGCCATGTGCATGAACTTAGTAAACAGGCACCTCAGCACCAGCAGACGAGCTACTTAGATGAACAGCTCGAAAGCTTGCAGGTCTGACTGACTGCATGAAGACTCCCTTAGAACAGACAGTCTCCACTATGCTGATGTCTCATCTATAGCTCACCACAGTGAAAACAAGTAGACAGCATCAGCAAATGCAGAATACTTTTTAAGATGCCACAGACACACGTTAACTTCAGAAACTCGTATTTTTGCTTAAAAGAAATAATAGTAAATCACATATTTTTAAACAGATGGAATTGGAGAGTTTTATTCTTCTTATTCAGAATTATTTCAATTAAGTAGAGAAAGTATGAAGGATGGTTAGAAAAAGAAGAAAATGGGTATTAGTTTTCTATAAAAAGTATTACAGCATGAGAAATATTCTTACCCATCCCAGAGTCTTTCTTGGTGCCATCTGAAATTATGTCTACATGATCAGAGTCCACATCATAACTAAAGAAATCATTCAAATACGTCTTCGATCGCTGGCCACCAAATACATATAAGCAACGATTTTTCTAAACAAAGGAGAAAAGGAAGGGAGTTGTCATTTCCAACGAAGAATTCAGAATGACCCTTCAAACTTTACATCTGTGTAACAGTAGTTTCCTGAGATCCCACACAACATTCCTTTGCTCGACTGAGGAGGGGAGGCAGCTCTCTCCTCACTACCAACAGGCACTGCTGAGACTCTGAACGCTGCCTACTGAAGTCACATAAAGGCTGTTGCCTTTGGTGTGACTATGAGAGAGCAAAAGTGAGCATGAGTGAGCAAATAAGAATGTGTCTGGATAAGTCAAACCATAATACAGGACAGCCACCCATGAGGAAGAAATTAACTCCTTCTTATGCCTGAAATAAAAACCAGAGCTACCTAAAGGTACCTTGACTTAGTTTTATTTTATAACCATAATCATGTTTTTATTAGAATATTAAAAAAACAGAAACAAAGACGAAAAACTATCTGTACATAAAGCTATGACTTTATGTATATACAGAATTCTAACCACACTCAGAAGTATTATACTGATTTTTAATTCAGTTTTTTTTTTGATAATACATTCTTATGGTCTAAGTCCTAAATTAAAAATTCACTAGAAAGCAATTTTAATTTTGGAAACACTAGTGATTTTGTTGTTAGCTTTGACAATTGGAAAATTCTCACAGATGAAACAAGTAACGTAATACAAATGAAATGAGATTTTTAACTTTAAAAGATATACAAGTACAAAAACCAAAGTCACTAAGTAAAAGAAAAAAAATTAATTTGAATTAGATTTATCAGTGAGAACTCACGATTTGCCCTTTGTTTTACCAAAAAGTAAATGTGTACATATGGGTAAAAAGGAGGCTCCTACTGGCCAAAGACAGATTAAAAACAAAACAAAACAAAAAAAACAATAAAAAAATACCAACTGAGAAAAATGGCAGCACTGAACTTAAAGTCTCATGTATATAAAAAATTCATGAGCTCATAATTACAATGTTTTTAACTACCTCACTAGTTGGCTTTGGAAACTGAAACATCAAACATGTTTCATGAAAATCAACAAAAGAATCAGACATCCATCCATTCATTTAGATTTATTTATTTGAGACAGAGTCTTCCTACATAGCTCTGGCTAACCTGGAATTCACTATGTAGGCCAGGGTGGCCTCGAACTCACAGAGATTCCCACTGCCTCTGTTCATATTAAAGGCACACCCAATGATTCACTTAGTTTTTAAGATAGGGTGTTTCTATGTGTTCCAGGCTGGCCTTGAACTTGCTGTATACAGCCCAGATTGATCTCAACTCATGGTCTGCCTGCCTTAGTTTTCAAGGTGCTAGGATCACAGGTGTGCATCATTAGGCCTGGCCCAAGAACCATATGGTTTCATTTTAGAGTAATCAAACAATTCATGACATAAAGATGATGTTTTATTGTTCTTTTTTAAAAAAAGAAAAATAGAATTATAGTTAATAAATACAGAAGAAACAAGAACATCAGAAAAACCACCATTTTGTGATCTCTAATGAAATCTAGACAATGAATACCCACTGAATATCAATAGGTAAAGGTTATAGGAAATTTCATAATTGATCGATCAAACTAATAATTCCTAAACTCACTAATATATATGTAAACTATGATAATATTAAGTGCCTCTTGATATCCTATGATCAGAGTACTGGTGAAGTGCTGGTATGTTATCTCCTGGCTTCCCCTTGAAAGGACAGTGACTATGTATAATTAAGCCCCCAGATAAAAATGACTAGATAATAGAAAATATGATAGAGAAACACATTAAATAATGCAATAAAGATCCAATCAGTCAAGTGAGAAGGGGAAACATTGTAGATTACAGATAATTCTGATTTTTAAAAAAGCAGAGGGAGTAGAATGTGTGTGGAGAAAAGAGGATGTACTGCTGTGCACAGGAGTATCTGGGATCCTGATCTGAACAAATCAGTTCTGAAAAGGTATCATTTAGGCTATCAGAACAACGTAATATAGACCAGGCATTATATACTCTTAATAAGCTGCTTGACTGTGATGGGTATGATAATGGTAACACCATTTTAAAAGTTTGTGTCTATCAGTGTACACTGTAGTATAATTTTAGGTACAATTGTCCCTCAGTATCAGTATAGGTCCTCATCCTGATGCACAAATTGGGTGACCGAAAAGTCCCTTAGGATTTGTACATAACATATACATATCCTCTTATGTACTTTAAATCATCTCTACATTACTTTTAATACCTAGTATAAACTGTAGGACATGAGAGCAGTTGTTTAATAAAGGGTTTTTAAAAGTCTGTACATGTTTAGTGGAGACAAAAAATTTAAAAAACTATTTTCAATCCATGGTTGTTTGAATCTGTAGATACATAGCCCACAGATATGAAGGGCCTGCTAAATACAGACATTCTAGCTGAAGTCTTTCTGCAAATACTCCCAATATAATAAAATGTAATAAGCTCTAAAAATGACAGGGAATATAATTAAAGTAGGAGTGCTTTATTAAAAACATAGACTGGGCCGGGCGGTGGTGGCGCACGCCTTTAATCCCAGCACTCGGGAGGCAGAGCCAGGCGGATCTCTGTGAGTTCGAGGCCAGCCTGGGCTACCAAGTGAGTTCCAGGAAAGGCGCAAAGCTACACAGAGAAACCCTGTCTCGAAAAACCAAAAAAAAAAAAAAAAAAACCATAGACTGTTTACTGATCAAACTGACAGATATGTACACAGAAATCACTACTATCTCCTTCTTTGTACTTCATATAAAGAATATTTTAAAAACATGCATGTTAAACAGCATACATTCTAATACTTTGTTTACAAAAGAAGGACTGCTTACTTCAAAAAGTTAAGGTAAAGTCTTTTGGTTGTTTTTGTCAGTAAACTCTTATTCTAATTCTATTAAAATCAATCTGTAATTAATTGAGAGTAGCAAGAGGAAAATAATTCAAAGTTATCCATCTAATTGCTAAGAAAAGTCTGCACATGGTTAAGTCCTAAAAAGAGAGCTATGTAAGCAGTAAAGTTGGTCATAAAAGCACCTACCTTTATCTTCAGGTAATACTCACTTAGGAGTTTCTAAGTTGATGAAAATGACTACATGACAGCTCTCTGCTAACATTCTATTTTCTCTGTCACTGCTGTATTTGTCATTTATTTCTAACAAAAAGCTTGCTTTCTTACTGATTCTTTCCTATAAAGATAGACATGACAAAATAACAGAATATTCTTACTGAGTGGAACAGCATGCAGTGTCCAATTCGAGACTGGATGTCCTCAGGGCCAGCATTACAGGAGTCCTCTCGAAGAAGTTTCCAGGTTTGACATTGGCAGTTGAACGCAAACAAGCCACTGAACTGTGGTTCACTGGCTCTGCTGTCATCTACGCTGCCATTACATGTCAAAATTCTACCACCAAAGGTGTAGATCATATGTTTTTCTGAGTCCATACACATCTATGAGAACAAGGCAACAGTTTCAGTTTGTTCCTGTCATATGTGCCAAAATGAAATCAGTAAGTACAGTTTCACATTCTCAAAGAAACCCCGAATTTTGCTCTTAATGATGCTAAATACATATCTTAATTATTGGACACACATACTGTAATACTGTTCAGAAATTCAGGATAGGTTTCTAAATACTTTTTCAACTTCCATTTATCCCAATTAAAATGAATATACTGAGCTAAGGAACTTTGTTTTCTTGATGCTATGCTACATGATTTTTATCAGAGCCAACGACAAATCATGACATACTGGTCTTACTAACAGTGCATACTGATCATACAACTCTATGGATGAATTGTGATCATATGCTCCTCTCCATCCTCCTTAGAGGGAAGTATCTTACTTGTTACTTGTTTAATAAGAGAGAAGATACCCAACCCGCAAACTAGAGCGATTCAGCTAAATGAACCTCTACATTTATTTCACAAAACTTGCCAAACTATGTTGTAAAATAATGCAACAAGCCAGGCAGTGGTGGCACACACCTTTATTTAAGTCCAGCACTCAGGAGGCAGAGGCAGGCGGATCTCAGAGTCTGAGGCCAGCCTGGGCTACAGAGTGAGTTCCAGGATAGCCAGGGCTACACAGAGAAACCCTGTCTCAAAAAAAACCAAACCAAAACAAAACCCAAATGGCATTTGCAAACATGTCTCCAGACAGACTTCCATACCATAGTGTGAATAACTGTGTCTCTTTTTATATTATAAATTTAATTTTCATTGAATTAAGTTATGCAATTCAAGTCAACCTTGATTTTTACACTCCTTAAAATAAAAATAAAGCCCTCCATAAAATAACATATGAGGAAACAGCTGTCACAAGATAGTTAACACTCAAATTCTATCTCCAAGTCAAGCTGGGTTCAGCTCTCAAAGCCAAGTGGCGTCTGCGATTGAAGAATGTATCATGTACACAAACAGTTCTGCTTTCAGTGAAGCACTGGACTAGTTGTTCCAAGTTTGAGTCTCTTCTGCCAAACTGCTTCCCTCATCTAATTACTTTAAATTTACAACACAAAGATATTTTAGTAATTTTAAAGACCAATTAAAAAAATAAAGCACTGCAAAAAGGAAGGATTCTAGCAGAGAGGGAGGGGGAAGGGAGGGGGGAGAGGGAGGGGGGAGGAAGTTAGTTTGAGACTGGGTCGGTCTCTCAGCATAGCCCTGGCATTGCTCTTTCCTTTCAGGAGTTTTTGGTGTGGTATTCTTAACTGTCATCAGGGCTACATATATACATCTTTATTTTGCTAATTCATAAAAAACAGGAGGAGCACAGTATCAGCATGGAGATTCTTCTCCACACTTCCAGCATACAGGACATGAAACAGGAATAACTTTATTTATATACTATATACTCCTGCACTAAGATACATAGTGTTTTTTGTTTGTTTTTTAAGACAGGGTTTCTCTGAGTAACGGTCCTGGCTGTCCTGGAACTCACTTTGTAGACCAGGCTGGCCTCGAACTCACAGAGATCCCCCTGCCTCTGTTTCCCAAGTGCTGGGATTAAAGGCATGCACCACCTCTGTCCGGCCTATTTATTTCTTTTTTAATGAGGGTCAATTATCAACAAATTTTAATCATTCTAGGCATCTTAACACTCTTTACCCAGTCTAAGGTTTGTTCTTCGTTTTTTATTTTTATTTAATTTTTTTATTCTGTATTTTTTAGCATTTATTTTATCTTAAATCGTGTATGTGTGTGCCCATGTCTATGCATGGACATGTGCTTATGTATGCAAGGTGCCCCTGCAGCTCAAAAGAAGGTGTCAGATCTCCTGGAGCTGGAGTTACAAGTAGTTGTTGGATACTGGACATGGGGGCTGGGAACTGAACTTGGGTTCTCTGCAAGAGAAGCACATGCTCTTTACTGCCCAGCCAGCTCCAGGTCCTGTTTTGTACCTTTTAATCTCTGAAAAATGGTTATACAAACTTATGATAAATTGTGGTATTTTCACAAAAATTTGTAAATCAAAATTTTGCAAGACCAGTGGGTGTGGTGGCACACACCTTTAATCTTAGCACTCAGGAGGCTAAGGCAAATCTCTTTGAGTATGAGGCTAGCCTGGTCTACATAGTGAGTTTCAGGACATCTAGGTCTACAAAATGAGAACCTGTCTCAAAACAATAACAACAACATACAGATAAACAAACAAACAAAAAATCCTACCCGGATTTAATGGAAAACTCTTTTTCTACTCTGTCAGTTTACAACATTTCTAAAACACAATAAGCAGTAGACAGCCCAATTTTCTTTGTCTACCTTTAACCCATTTTCTAATTTTTATAAATTATCACACCTAAAGATACTTCATCAGACTAGAGGATCCCCTGCTATTTAGTCCCTAACCCGTAACTTAATATTTGCTCAGGGCACAAAGACTTCTGGACTTGTTACATCTCAGCCTTTTGCAGTATGAAGCTGAACAGTGGTTTCTTCTGGCGGGAGGGGATCTACCTTCAGGAAAGCTCCTACCACCTGTTGCTGTTGTTCAGCACCATTTCTAATGTGCTCTCCTCCCTGCAGACGGTGGAAAGGAGGTCAGTGAAAGGATCTGTTTGTCCTGTCAATTATTTGGTCCAGGAAAGGAGGCCAAGACACTGAGATCTTCATTTTTTTATTTTGTTTTTTGAGACAGGGTTTCTCTGTGTAGCCCTGGCTGTCCTGGAACTTGATTTGTAGACCAGGCTGGCTTCAAACTCATAGAGATACACCTGTCTCTGCCTCCCCAATGCTGGGATTAAAGGTGTGGGACACCATGCCCTGCTGGGATCTTCCATTCTTCAACAAGACTCTTTCCTGTTACTTCCCAGCAAGCTCACATTCCGTTTCTAGTAATTTCTTTTGGGGGGGGGGTAGTTTTCAAGATAGGGTTTCTCTGTGTTGCCCTGGCTGTCCTGGAACTTGCTCTGTAGACCAGCCTGGCCTCAAACTCAGAGATCCACCTGAGTGGATGCACTATCACCACCCGGCTCGAGTAATTTATTTATTCATTCATTCGTTCATTCATTCATTCATTTTAAGATTTATTTATTTATTATGTACACAATGTTCTGCCTCCATGTATGCCTGCACAGCAGAAGAGGGCACCAGATCTCATTATAGGCGGTTGTGAGCCACCAGGTGGTTGCTGGGAACTGAACTCAGGACCTCTGGAAGAGTAGCCAATGCTCTTAACCTCTGAGCCATCGCTCCAGCCCTCTAGTAATTTATTAAAGTGTTTATATCTAAAGGGTAATTTGGTCAGCTCTTTAACACTTGGTCCATACTATCTTTTCCTGAACACCTTTAGATACTGCTCTTTTGTCTCTTGGCATTTGCTACAGTCTAAATAGGGGTAGTGTCTCCCAACGGTCAACATGTTAATAGTTTGGCACCATGGTGGCACTAATACTGACAGTTGCTATGGACTTCCAGAGGAGTGGCCTTTGGAAGGTCATTAGACCATTAAGATTGTGAATGCAAAGAAGACTGAGACTCCAGCTTGCCCCTTCTCTTCTGTGGCCCTGTTCATGTACGTAGTCTGGCTCTACCACATGATTCTGTCATAATGTGTGCCCTTACCAAAATCCCAAAGCAATGATGCCACTTGATCTTAGACTGGAACCTCCATAACCAGGAGCCAAAACAATCTTTTCTCTTTATAAGTTAAACGCTTCAGATATTTCATCATATTTCTGGCTATAAAAAGCCAGAAAACAACACTGAAAGTGGATATATGACCAGTCTCATTTGAGTTCTAAGTGGCTTCATAATTCTGTTTAAAAATAGTGTGCTTTAAATTTAGTGTTACTAATATGCCTTTGAGGTAGCTGGCTGGCTCTCATCTGCCCATCTTCTCTGTAATTCTCTGACAAATACTTTTTATTTCTGTTTTGTTTTATACTTACATGATCCCTATCTTCTTTATGCTCATAGATTAGTCTCCATTTCTGAACATGATAATATGCTCTTCTTTGGGTTTTATTATTATGTTTACACTGTGAGGAGGAGGCATGTGTGTGCCACAGCGGTCAGGGGACAACTCTGTAGAGTGCGTTCTCTCATTCACCTTTACAAGGGGTCCAGGGATTGAACTCAGGCTGACAAGCTTGAGCCACAAGCCCTTTTACCCACTGAGCCATTTCATCAGCCCTCATTTCTTCCCTGTATGCAGTTCTTTCGGCTGCTCTTACCATTTGGTTCTCACATTGGCATTTTTCAATGTATACTTTGTAGTTATCTTCAGTTTCAACTTCATTATGTTGTTAAACTGTTGGAATGCTGAAATATAATTCTTACCTACTTTTGTATGAAGGAAAGTATCTTTTTCCCTCTATTATTTTCTTTGAAGTATTTCTCTAAAGATCTGGTGCTTGTTATTGTTTATAGTTTTTCACATTTAAGTGGGTTGGTTTTCTTTGGACCCAATAGCTTTCAGAGAGTTCCTATGGAAGAGGGACAGCAGTGTTTAAGGACCCTGGTGCTACCGAATAGAGGTGTGTTTCTGTGAAGCTATGTCTTATCTAATTCTGAGATCTCATCTGGTTTAGAGATGGTCTATCTCAAGGTGTCTTTTTTAAATTACGGTTGTCTATTTTGATTCTGTATGTACATGCTTATATGCCTGTGTGTGGGAATGCATGTGCCAGTGTGCATTTGGATGTCAGAGAATAACTTTCAGGAGTCAGTTCTTTCCTTTCATTCTCTGAATGCTGGAGACCAAACTTGGAAACAAGCACCTTTACCCAATAAGCCATCTCGCTGACTGGTCCTCAAGATTTGAATTTCCCTAGTTCCCTGGCTACTGCAAAAGAAGCCAGTGTGCCCAGCTGCCCAAGTGTTTCCTTTTTAGAACATACTGCTTTCTTAAACGGGCTGGGCTTTCCGACCCTGCTACAGGTTAACGCCCTGCTTCGCCCTGCGGCTGCTCTGCTCTGGACACTCAGGAGTCTGCTGTGCCACGGCAGGGCTCCCCTGCGTCTCAGGCTCTCTTCATTGCAATGTGTGGACTCAGTACACGGACCAGGGTTTCAGTCGTTTGTGATTAAACTTACAAGTAATTGTGAGCTTTCTCTGGCTCCTAGTTTTTCTGTATATGTGATTTACATACTGTTTTTAAAATCCTTTCTGTTGGAATTCTTGCTGTTATTGAAAACTAGGCAAAGCAACAACAAGTAAAGTTTGAGAGCTAAGCTGAGCTAAGCTGCCATATGCTCACCAGAAATACAAGACTCTGAATTTCAATTTTTTAAATGTTAAAATTCAAAATGGAAAAATAATTTTTAAATGTGTCTTTATCTTCCCCTTGTTCTTCTAAATTTTGAACATGAAGTATTAAACCCCAAAACATCCTGGCACTACAAATAACTGTTTGAAGTGTCATGAACACAAGTTAGTAAGTTCTAACTTACAGCTTTATTTGCATGAAATTAAATGTGCACTGAAGGCTTAGACAGGCGCGCTGCGTACTCAGCAGCACAGAGCATAACTGCTTAGCTGAATCAGGACCAAATTCTGGTTTCTTCCCCTCCATGGTTCTTTCATAGCATGGGATCAGTTGAAAAGTTAGAATTATTTATTTAATAGTAGCCAACTTCCAAGGAGCATCCTGTTGTATTAGTCAAGACAAATGACTATTATACACAACTGTGTGCCACAGCCAGACTATCCTTCAGCTATCCTACTTTTAACCAATACAAGTAATTTTTGTAAAATTCAGTACTTTTTGATAAAATATTAACAATTTTTGATCAAAAGGATAAATTGTTCCCTAACAATATGACCCGCTGACGTTACGTTCTTAGATAGCCAGATTCAGCCTAACTTCTTGGACTTCTTTTTCCCAGAAGAACAACACTGAGGATACCAGGAAGGAGCATGGATGTGGAAACTCAGCCTTAAAGAGCCTGTGTAAGTTCCAAACTTAACCGAAGGACCTTAACATTTTTATTTTTCACCTACAGTACTTGATGGATGTAGTTCCTCTTCACCATTTTCCTATACCAGTCATGTATTAACAAAAACATGAAACTAGGATAATTTCAAAGCAAAGCAAAACAATCTATAAAAAAAATAAATAAAGGCCTGGGACTCAGCTGCTATGTAAGACCTAAGGCCAAAGTTGGAGCAGCACAACTCTACCACTACCTCCTATTTCCCCAGCAGCAGACAATGCTAGCTGACACAGTAAAACAGGTCATCTCTCCTACACTCCGAAAGCTGTGCAAACAGGTTAACTAAGTAAAACTGCTTATCTGAACAATTCAAAGCAGTTACCATTTTCTTTGACTATGCTAGGGATAATGAAGAGAGGTACAGCCACAGTAATTAAAGTGGCTTCCACACCACTCACTGTTTAAACTGTTTTGTCCATAACACCATCACATGCTGAGTTTAAACTTAATCTAGAATGTGCCAAATTTCTATATAGCTTTGTAACAAGTTTCTGATTACAAACAAAACAAAGCACATTTTAGTCTAACTGGAAGGAAAGTTCTAGATTTTAAACTCATTAGCAAATGATTTTAAATTTATTTCAGGAAAACAGAATAAAAAATATTAACAGGGTAAGTTGTAATTGTTATAGTTAATATATATTTATAAACCTCTAAATTTGTTTTTCCTTGCTTCATCCACTCTCTATACTAAAGTTTTAAATAGATTAACAATTATGTAAATATTAAGATTAATGGCTTAATATTTCATCCTATATCAAACAATAAAAAAAATGTAAGAATAACCTTACACTTCCTGAAATAATTATCTTCATTACCTACCAATAGCATCATCAGTTATATAACACCTATAAGCATCTAAAGTAGATCTCTAGGAGCAAAGAGCACTCAGCACTAGCTACTTCTATTCTCATGAAGTGCATCCAACCTGATGATCAAACACCAGCTTTGGTCCACCATCAGCAGCAGTGTCTTCACTGAGTAACATCCAGGTATTGGTGTCAATGTCGTAACGGTAGAAGTCACTTTTCAGAGACTTGCTGTTCCTCACAGAGGAATCCAAGTAGCGGCCCAACGTGTAGATCTGCCTCCGCTGGATGTCGATGCACATTTTATGGCACGACCTGGCACTAGGACCATTCTGGAGAGAGAAGGGTGGGAAGAAAAAAGGGTGTCAAAGAGCAAAGAGCAGAAATGCTCTCTTCTGTTCTAGTTCATCAAAACTCATGACAAGTCAACTACTATGGCTCTAACACTAGACTGATAACACATCTCTAAGCAAAAGAAAGTAGTGGGAGACATAAACTTTACCCTAGAAATGTTTGAAATCTGCCAGGAAAAAGCTATGAACTATTTTATACTCTCTGGCACTTGTTTTAACATCCATTGTGTCATGTACCACATTGTGTTTTGGGTTTTTTTTTTTTTTTTTGGTTTTTCGAGACAGGGTTTCTCTGTGTAGCTTTGGAGCCTGTCCTGGAACTCACTCTGTAGCCCAGGCTGGCCTCGAACTCACAGAGATCCGCCTGGCTCTGCCTCCCGAGTGCTGGGATTAAAGGCGTGCGCCACCACCGCCCGGCCACATTGTGTTTTATATGCCTTGAACACAGTTCAATCCCTATCGAAAATCAAGTTTAAGGCATAGTGTATCTTTAAATGTATTGTGAACAAAAAAAGAAATTTAAAAATGTGCATGTAGGGTCATATGAATGTATAAGGTGTGTGCTCGTCTGTGTAGGCCTGAGGGCAGCATCAGTTGCCTTGGGTTGACTGTTATTCACCAAATCACTCTAGCTTGTTTCAAGGTGACATAAAACTTGCCAGCACATTTTCTCAATTAAGATTCCCTCTTCCCAGATGTCTAGTTTTGTGTCAAGTTGACAAAAAGCAACCTGCACACTTGCTAAATTCTGTTTACATTATTACTGTGGATAGATGTGTTTCACTGAATCCTTACAAAAACACTATAAGGAAACCATTATCACTATTTCACAATCTAAACTACTTGTCTAGAATCAGAAAACTAGGAAGTGATAATGATATCTAAGCCCCACTGTAACCAGATTTAAAAACATTATAAAACCCTGTTCTTTTCACTTTGATAGGCAATTAATTGGTTTTTTTCCTCAGAAGAGAGAAATAAGCAAAAATCTAACTAACAAAATTATATGCTCATGACTGAGATGATGAGAAATGGGAAGCTAGGAGACTGGGTGCAATCTGAAGGAAATAAAAAACCACCATAAGTTCCTGGAGCAAGACAAAACACCAAATAGCAGTATTATACGAGAAGTAACATAATGTAAATAGCTTGGTTAAACGTGGGACTATTACACAGGAAAAAGGTTTGACATTAGTAACAGTAACTGAGAAAATAAACCAAGTGCAATTTATGCTTTCATATTCATACAAATAATTTTAAGACTTACGTTTTAAGGGTTTCTTTACTAAGATTCCATACATAAAGTAGAAATGTTATTTAGGGGAAGTTTCTTTCATGATTAGGTAATCTCAAAAACAAAGATGGAGTTATATTTCTATTAGTATGAAATTTTAATTTTTAAACAAGAAAGACCTCTTGCTTCCAAGTAGCACTAATACCATTAAAATGACAAGTAAACTATACCTCCCAAGTGCTGGGATTAAAGGTGTGTGCTGCCACTGCCTAACCTCTATGTTTAATATTGTGGCTGTTCTGTCTCTGACCCCAGATAAGTTTATTAGGTTGCACAATATTTCGGGGAACACAATACCACCACATACATACAACTGTTTTTGTAAATTAATTAAAGGTATTTCTGACATAGTGACTTTCAATAAGCATAACCCAAATAAATTAAAAAAACACCAGTAAGCTTTTTTTTTACTTTTTACATACACAAAGGAATCCTACTACCTACCCTAAGATTTGAAAAATCACTAATACAAGTAAAATCCAGTAAGAAGAACCCTGTCTAATTTCTTATTGCTCAATAATCCTAGGAATGAAGTCAGAGCTCTTTAACAAAACAAGAGACACAAATTAAATTTATGCCTAGCTACATAAACAATTATTTTCTCCGTAAGAGCTCAGGCTATTAGCTTTTGATCTCTAAAAGTTTTAATAGACACATGTTTAAATAAATTCAAGTGATTAAATCAACTTTTGCTTCTTGATTATATATCATGCTTTTAAAATGCACACCTTGAGACATCATCAATAACAACCAATATCTATACTTACTGGTACAAAAAACTGTAACTGCACAATAATAGGAACAATGGGCTATCAAACTAGGGCAATATTACCATTCGGTTCACTGACAGACCAACTGAAGATTTTTAGGCACTGTCTTAGTCACTGTTCTACTGCTGTGAAGAGACAGCATGACCAAGGCAACTTTTACAAGAAAAAAGCATTTAATCAGAGAGCTTGCTTTCAGTTTCAGAGGTTGAGTCCATTATTATCATGGAGGGAAGCATGGCAGCATGCAGATAGGTGCTAGAGAAGTAGGTGAGAGCTACATCCTGACCCACAGGCAGAGAGAAAGAAGAGACAGAAAGACAACGACTCTGGAGATGGCATGGGCTTTTAAAACCCCAAAGTCCACCACCAGTGACATATTTCCTCCAACAAGGCCATGCTTCCTAATCCTTCTAATCCTTCTCAAACAGTGCTATGCCCTGATGACTAAGCATTCAAATATATTAGCATATGGAGGCCATTTTTACTCAAATCACCACAGGCATCTATATGACGGAACAAACTATAATAAACCTGAGCTCCAATACTGAAACATTTTATTATCTTCAAAGTAACAGAAAATGTTCTCATCAAAAAAATCACTGTGATTTTCAACTTCATTTTTCATATTACAATGTATATATACAGCATAAAAAATAATCAAATGAGCTGGGCACAGTGACACATGCCTGTAATCTCGGCACAGAATACGTAAAGCCAGGAGAAGGGAAACAAGCACAGCCCTGAATTTGAGGCCCGTCTGCCCAACCTAGTGAGACAATGTCTCAAAAACACAAAACATCAGTACTACTCATAAAGCCTTACATCTGGGCACCCAATCTCCTGAATTTTCTATTTATCATTCCTTTGCTTTACTCCAATACCAGTTTTTTATTTAATTCACCTTATCTGATCACTTACAAAAGAATAAACATATCTATTACTTCTTTTAAATACATAAACTAAATAATATGCTTCATGCCTATCAGGAATTCAGACTCTAGGTGGGAAAACAAACCAGTTTCAGGTGAAGGTGGGTGCATCAAAGGAGGTTTAAATTCTGCTCAGAGAGCTTCAGAAAGGCTATATTGAACAAGGGAAGTCTCAATTGAACGTTAAAGAACATATAGGCTGAAGCTGGAGATGGGAGATCTCACTGAGAACACGGGGAAAACACTGGCAAATGAGACAGGCGAAGACATTGTAAAATTGCAGAAATGGTCAGTGCGGTCGGTCGTCACACACAGTCAGGGTATATGGCTGCATGAGAACTGGTACTGTCACTAAATTAAAGAAACTGGGATAGATACATTGTTTTATTATTGTTTTGGCCTTTCCCCCATACTTTCTTGTATGGATACCTTTCAACATCCCACCATACATGGACTCTGAACTTAAGTTATCTGACTCCCTTTGACAAATGAGACAGAAACAAACTTGGTGGAGTGTTCATGGCCATTTCATCCCCTGGCAGCCCTGCCTGTAATTGGACTTTCTTTTGGGCCACCAGCTCACTCACAAATAATGACACAGAGACTTATTATTAATTATGAAAGCTTAGCCTTAGTTTAGGCTTGTCCCTCTAGCACTTTAACTTAAATTAACCCGTATTCTTGTTAGTCTACGTTCTATCACATGGCATTACCTCTCTTCCATCTTGTACCTCCTGTTTCCTCTCTGTGTCTGGCTGGCATCTCTGCCTTTCTTTTTCCTGGCATCTTCTCTGTCCCCAGAAGTCCTGCCTCACCTCTTCCTGCCTAGCTATTGACCATTCAGCTCTTTATTAAACCAATCACAGTGACACATCTTCACACAGTGTACAAATATCCCACAACATTTGCCCGTGCTCTAAGAACAAGTCCCAGGTAGCCTACAGACTGGCGAACAATTAAGTAAAGCACACCCATGTAGTCTTAGCTGAAGCAACCTTAAACTAGCCAACAGTTGTCTCCCAAATGAGTGCTCCTACTAACAGAATGACCCAGCCAACTACTGCCTCACAAGCAAAGAAATGCTTACTGCTATACAGCATTAAAGTTCTATGAATGACTAACGTTAAAGATAACTCAACAGGGATCAAAGCTAGATGTTTCTAAAAGATCATTCATGATGGGCAGCGGTGGCGCATGCCTTTAATCCCAGCACTCAGGAGGCAGAGCCAGGCAGATCTCTGTGAGTTCAGGCCAGTCTGGTCTATAGAGCGAGATCCAGGACAGGCACCAAAAAACTACACAGAGAACCCTGTCTCGAAAAACCCAAAAGATTATTCATTTACTAATTTTGTTTACTTGTTTAGAGGCAGGGTCTGGGTGTGTGGCAGAGGTTAACTTGGAACTTCCCATGTACACCTAGCTGGACTCAAACTTAAGGCAACTCCTAAGATGGTCATGCATTTTTGTAATTCCAGGAAGATGAAGAAGTATCACAAAGCAAGGCCAGTCTAGGCAATTTCCTAAGTTGGGTAGAGTAGGGAGTGAAGAGGAGAAGACAGGGAAGGAGAGACAGAGAAAAAATAGCATGAAAAGGAATAGAGACGAAAGGACATTTGAAATGCAGTATTGACATCAATGGACCTTTGGCATAAATTTGATACAATCAATGAATACGGAAGATTTTAAGATGAACCCTAGGCTTACTGGAAGAATAGTTAAAGATGTAACTAACTCAATTTAAAATAGCTGAGAATAAATAAATTAAATGATTTTAGATATGTCTTTATTTTTGTTGAGGACAGAAATAACCATTTCAAAAAATGATACTTCAACACTGGAAATGGAAGATCATTTTTATGTACCTGGGATTAGAAAAAGAAATCAGAATTTCAAGGTCTTACGGAAAAAGTAAGTGCTACTTAAATGACTAATCCTTGGAGCAGACTGAGTAAGAAAGAACTCAATTTTCAAAGACTGAATGAGGGGTTGGGGATTTAGCTCAGTGGTAAAGAGCTTGCCTAGCAAGCGCAAAGCCCTGGGTTCGATCCTCAGCTCTGAAAAAAAAAAAAAAAAGGCAAAATAACAAACACTGAAGGCACACCTCCAGATCTTTTTAATCTGCCTCCCTAAACAAAAATCAGTGGGTTTGACTTAGGTCTTTTTCTCTTTTGCTTTCTTTCTTTCTTTTTTTTTTTTTTTCCAACCTACATTCTGAAATAGCTTAGATGGAGAATACGTCTACAACAATTTTGGGGGAAAGATGAATAATATTTGCTTTTCCCCTGCATATAACCATGTAATTATTTAATTCAAATCCATAAATCAAAGCTATTTTCATTATAGAAATGCTTCATTTATACATAGATAGGCACAAACACAAATATATGTATAGATACTATTTTAATTAAAATAAATATCACTTATGAAAACTGACAGGTATAGCTTAATGATGAGGATTAATTCTGAGAAATGCATTGTTAGGCAATTTCATCATGTGCCAACATTCTATACTGTCTCTATATAAACAAGTAGGTCTGTAATAGCCCTAAACAATATCTTAGGAGCCCACCACCATGGGCATGGACTATCAATGGTTACAAACTATTATGCAGCACATGACTGTATAGTGAAACAGTCAAGGGTCAAAATAGAGACAAAATGGACAAATGAGACAAAGGGCTGGGGAGACGGCTCAGCAGTTAAGAGCACTTGCTGCTCTTGCAGAGAACCTGGATTCAGTTCCCAGAACTCACGTAGTGGCTCACAACCATCCATAACTATAGTTCCTGGGGATCCAATGACCTCTTAAGCCCTCTGCAGGCTCCAGACATGCATGTGATGCAAATACATGCATGCCGGCAAAACAGTAACAAACAAACATATTTTAAAAACCTAGACAGTGTAGAGCTAAAACATCCAAAGCATGCTTTTCCAGAGGAAATACAATACGATGGTGGGGGCTAGACTAGCTTAGTGATACTGCACTTTGAGGCCAGGTTCCATCCTCACCAGTGCATGGGGGGTAGGGGAGTATGAATGCTGAAAACGAGGGCAGAGTGCTGAGGCATGAAAAGATATTATACGGTTACATTTCTAAGGTGAAGTAGCTTAAAATTCAAAACAAAAAAATATTGCTATTTAACTCTACAAAATAGCTATATATACCACTAACTGATGGGCCAAGGATAGAAATTCAAACGCAAGAGTTGTTGAATCCAGTTGATTTTCTTACTTCAAAATGCTTTTGTACTACCGCTGTTGTGAAACATCCGAGAAGAAAACAAGCATACAGAAGTGTATTCCACGCTCCTACTGTGATACAGATGAATGAAAAGACTAGGAACTTGCCTCTTTCTCAGTGTCTCTAGAGATACATGTCCACTGGTTCTCCTTCACACTGTATGCCCAGAAGTCAGCAAGATCTTGTGTTCCATCCCAGCCACCAAACAAATAAACAGTCTCTATGAAAATCAAAAAAGTATGTATTAAAAAAAAGCCATAGGGACAAGGGTTAAGGCACCAGACTCACTCAATTGTTTCAAAGAACATTTAAGAAGGTACTTTTCATATTTCTTACAGTATTATCTTTAAACTTGTCACTTTCAAAAATGTACTCCAGCTGTTAAACCTAAGTATATGGAAAGACTACTGCAGAACCATATTTTGAGAAATTTATTTAAAAATCAGATCAGTAGGCCATGCTCCCCAAGATTCTGACTCCAAAATTCTTTAGTGGCTAAAGAGTTTGTATTTTTAAAGTCTCCCATATGAACCTGGTGCAGTCAGTTTCAGAATTGGTCTGTTGGACTACATTTTAGCTACTAAAGGCTGACAGAACTATTTAAAAGTATAAAAACTCAAAATTTAAAGGATTACATGAAGACATGTAGCTGTTACTGGGGGGGGGGTGCAATGAGAAAGGATAACATTAAAGGTGATGTCTTCCTATTGCCAAATAATGGTTAAAACTAGCTGAAAGTTAAGAATAAACTGATATAAAACAATGACAGTCCCATGAATATTGGGCTAATATTTTCCCATATATGTTGTAATAATCTTCCTTTTCAAAGATTAACCTAATACTTTGAGAAATAAATTTCTTGTCACTCTAAAATGTCTACTGCATTGATAAACTTTACCACTGTGACAAAATTATTTGCCTCAGTGAGCAGTGAATCTTTATACATAATATTGTATCATAGATCCTTCTCTATACAATGCCTTTCCTTTTGTTAAATATTTCCCCCTTTGTAAATATGTTATGCCTACTGATTACAAGTGTGTGTTTTAAGACTATATACACGGCAGTTATCATCTAAAGTGTGACTAATCTTAAAGATATACAATTCAAAACTACACGTGAAAATACTGTTACATTACGAAACCCCTTTCCATTCACAGCTGGGCTGTCATGTTTTCATATAACTTAAAATTTTAAGCAAATTTTCTGAGTAAAATGTTCACAAATGCTTCATTGCTGTCAGAAGAAGAAAAATCCACTGGAGGAAGATTTAGTTCTAGTGCTAACTGGATACTATGGTCTGAAAAGGAAATGCCTCCCAAAGGCTATCCTGGAAGGTTTGCTCCTAGCTGGTGGTATCATTTTGAAGTTTCTAGAAATCTTAGAAGGAGGCCTTAGCTGTAAGAGGTAGGTCACTAGGAGTGTATCCTTTGAGACAATATGCTGTCCTCGCCTCTTGTCCTCTCTCCTGGCCACAATGGTGTGAGCAGTCCTGCCAACCCCTTCCTACACTGGTGGATGAAAATCCTCTAAAAATGTAAGCCTAAATTGTTTTGCCACAGTGACAAGAAGCTTTGCTAATATAGACATCTGATACTGGAGCTAAGCTGTCGCTGGTGACGGACCACGGTCATATGGTTCTTTGGAATTGGTTTGCAAAAAGAGTTTGGAAAAGTTCAGAGAAACCAGCTAGAGGAAACCGAGGATGCTAGAGGTGGAGCTTAGATGGCAATTCCAGTGGAAGCTCAGAAGATCAGAAGACCATGGTCTTCACCAGGTTTACAGAGAAAATTGGAAGCGAAAGGCAGATAGAATGATTTGAAAAACTTGGTTTAGAAAACTCTATACACATTTAAAACTAAGGAAGACATGGTTTCTGAACCGCTTAGACCATTAAAAAGGAAGCCAGTTTCTTTTCAATGAAACAACAGGAAAGGTGACATGGGAACATCTCAGGAATTGGCCCGATTAACACCCAATGCAAAGAGTAAACACATTAGAAGACTTTTCATTGAGAAATCAGTGCTTCTAGGACACCCTGACCTCACACTGTATCAAGTTATTTTCCCAAAGATTATTTAACCATGCTGAGCTTCCCAGGCACTGAGTCCACCTAAGGTAGCAGCAGACTTCGTCGTTTTGCAGACATATAGAATACTAGAGTCAGAGTCGTGAAGGTTTCTACTCAGACTTCAAAGTCAGGCTGAGAAGTGAGACAATGTGTCCATCAGGTGCCTGAGAGGAAAAAGCACGAAGCTGTGGGAATGAATCCAAAGACACAAACACACACCCAGGAAGTTAAGAGATTTCAGGAACATAGAATGTATACTGAGGAATGCTGCAGGCCAACAAGAAAAGCTAGCCTTAAAGAGAGGCCTTGTGGGCTGGAACCACCAAAGGGTGGGAAAGCAATCCCTTTCAGAGCTGGGCTCTCAATGTATTTCTAAAAAACATGTCTCTTTCTTGGAGCATACTATCACATACCCCGGATACTGGACAAGAGCTACAGATTTCATTTCCATGCCTCCATTCTTTCATTTTGGAATGGAAATGTCTATCATGTTCATTTTATGTTTAAACTATATCTAACTTATTTTAAAGAGGCTTACCTTTAAGAGCTTGCCTTGAGTCTTAGCAGAGATTTGGGATTTGAACTTCTGTCCCCTACAGGCTCATTCTTAGAGGCTCAGTCACAGCTAGAAGCACTACTTTGGTAGGTTCTGTGAACTTTAAGAAGGGGGCGTAGCTGGAAGAGGGTTCTTAAGGGCAGTATCTTCTCTTTTTCTCCGACTTCCCTCCCTCACTCTCTCCCTCCTGCTGTGGATATGTTCTGTATGCTGTGAATATGTGTTGCTCTGATTGGCTGATAAACAAAACACTGATTGGCCAGTAGCCAGGCAGGAAGTATAGGCAGGGCGCGCAGCCGAGGAGAATTCTGGGAAGAGGAAGGGCTGAGTCAGGAGTTACCAGTCAGACACAGAGGAAGCAAGATGTCAAGGCAGAACTGAGAAAAGATACCAAGCTACTGGCTAAACACAGATTAAGAATTATGGGTTAATTTAAGTGTAAGAGCCTGTCAGTAATAAGCCTGAGCTAACGGCCAAGCAGTTATAATTAATATAAGCCTCTGTGTGCTTACTTGGGGGACACAAGTGGGAGAGATTTGTCCTGACCACTGGAACACAGAAAAACTTCCAGCTACACCCTCCGTTCCTCTCTCCCTTCCTTGTGCTCTCTGCTTCCTTGCCACCATGCTGCAACCCATTCTTTTATGCCATCCCTGCCATAATGGACTAAAAACCTCTAAAACCATGAACCAAAATACTTTCTTCCCCTAAGTTATTTTTCTCAGGTATCTAGTAACAGTGGTAAGAAATTAATAAAGAATGATCAAGCATAAGCCACTTATTCTTCCTCAGTCTTTGTTTTTTTATTTACAAAACTCTGTTTAGAGTTCCCTCAAATTTAAGTTATACAAGTTGTCAAAAATGAACATTTCTATTAAAAAAGAGGAAAAACAAACAAATAAAACTTGAGCTACCTTTCAGTTCCTAAGCACCTCAGACACAGTAACAACAGTATTACCGTACTAGACTCCAAACTAACCAAAACCTGGAATCCTTTTGGCACTGTAAAAATATGAAATAATGGCAATTATTTTAGAGTACTAAAACTCTGTCTTATTTCATAATGATAAAACAATCCATTATCATTAGCTGAATAACATTGTTTCCCAGATGGCATACAGTAATGTCCAGATACATAATTTTATAGGAAAAAGAACAAAGAATTTTCATCTGGCTTAAGATTATTTGCCAAGACCTCACTATAACAGCAGTTAACCCTGTTAATTTCTGAAGCTTGTAGAGGGAGGCCCATCTAACTAAAATAGCAATAGCAATTGACCTTTTGTTTTATAGTACTTATGGGCACTCTCTGGATAAGGTTACCCTGGTTCATTAACTTTAATAACCCTTCCTCTTGGGCTCTGAGTTCTCAATGTTCTTTCTGAAAAGCAGGTCTCTTTGTACGCATAAACTCTCACAGCAAAGAAAACCCACATTTCCACAACAGCCTCATTGATAGCTGAGCAAAAGAAAATCTGGCACAGGGCAAGCATCCCAAAAGAATTAAACAAAGATGTCATTCCTGTCCATGGAAGCTTTGTGGTCCAACTGAAGCAATAGTACAATAAATAAATTTTGTAGAAACTTATTCTTTTGATGTACCTGAATAAAAAAGGTGCAACAAAAAATTTTAATTCAATCCCTCATCATTTAAGTCTCACAAAGATAAACCATCTAGAAATAAATACCAAGAAGTGTCATTAAATCATAAAAGGCAGAAAGACTTATTAAACTATGAAGTTATCTAGAGAGAACCGTGGTGAGAAGTACAGTGTAGAAAAGAAAAAGGAAAAGCTGAAATCTTAGTGGGAAAGCTGGCTTCCTGGAAACCCATGCCCCGCAGCAAGTCCTATAACAACACGCCTGTATATCCTAGGCAACATCATCTTCCTCAAGCAGCAACCTTTTCTTTCTATTTTTTCCCCCTTAAAGGAATATAGACTAACACAGCTCTGCATTTGTCCTAGCTCTTCAGCAATATCTATCTGATAAGTTTTAAGCACTGATTTGAACTCACAAACCACTGTAGGAAATGAAAAGAAAGATGAATAGTCCCTTGTCCTTGAAGAACTTACAATCTAGCCACAACTCTAAAAGGGGACAGAAGTCACCACAATGCAGAACAGACCCAAGTGCCATTCAAAGGCAAAAGCACAACAGGTGTTCTAAAGGGGAGAACACACGTGGCTGAGAACTTGGTAGATTTGTGGTAAGACTAGTCTCTGTCCTGGGGTCAGAATGTGGCTTTGTGTTCTAGTAAAGTAGAATGTGGGACAGAAAAGCAGCAAAGTAAAATAACAAAGGTACAGAGACAGAACACAACCAAAGTGTTTGAAAAGCCATAAACTCCAAAGTCAGGCATACTGTAGCCTCAATCTTGACTCTGTAACCTTAACCACTAGTTTCCTAAGCTCTAAAATGTGATATGCTTATCTTTCCTAAAGATACAGTGAAAACTAAAATTATACGTTGTATGCAAAGAAGTTGTGGTGAATTGTGTGGTGAATAAGTAAATTACAGAAAATGTATATAAAATCAGGACACAAAGGTAGTAGGCAGACAGGAAGCTTAAAAAGACAGATAGTGACTAGATCATGGTCAAGGTTCAATTACTAGGGTTCAAACTTAATTCCACAGACACTGAAGGAACTATAAACAAAGTTAAGCAGAGGCATTAGAATCTGAACTTGCTGTAGAACTAACTAAAAAGGAAGACATGGGGAACGACAGAGATTGGTGGTAATAAAGTTAGTAGTAGCCTATTTTCAAAATGTCAAGCCAATTTCATTTAAAAGACCACATCAGATAATCATCAATCTATCTATCAATTATTACTCCATAAATATCACAATTCAATTATTATTCCTTGGTACAAAAAATACATTATTTGGTACCAGAACCTAATAAGCATGGATCTACTTATTCCCAGCAGCACAATTTACACATTGTACATGGATTAAAAATTAAAAATAAGAGAGATGATTAACACAAGGAAAGAATTTGGCCTTTTACATCATTTGCACAACTTTTACACCATTTGCACACATTCTGTAAACTAAAATGGGCTTTTTTACTTCAAGTGCTCAAATGCAGTTTCTACCACTCTACTGAGTCAATCAGACTGCCCATTGCATAAACCTCCACAAGATGGCACACTAGTCATAATTAAACAAGTCTGTCATTTTGAAACTACAGACTGTATCAAATATGTGCTAACAGAGAAAGCCAAAAAGTCAGACACAAATCAAGAATCAAGAAGAAGACAAAGCCAGCGAGACGGCTCAGTGGGTAAATCCTGATGACCTGCGTTCACCTGACTATACGAAGTTGTCCCCAGACCTCTCTAGGCATATCTTGACACTCATGCCCAAACAGGAATCATACACACAATAAAACAGAAGCAGAAGTATAACCACATGAAAGTTTGATAGCAATTAAAAACCCAAATTCCTCTTTATCCACTTCATTAAAAACTTCAAGGAAAACAGATACACATTTTTGTTTTCTTTTGAAAAGCACTTTAATGTAATTGCTACAGAGGTAGTTCAAGGTTCAGAAACTTAGAGATGAGAGTTTCTAAAGGACAAATCCCCAACATCTTCTTCTGCAGCTATCAAATAATTGGTATGGTGTTACCTGAGTCTTCCCCCAAAATTCAGTAATAATTACATAGGAAGAACAACTTAACACAAGACAATCCATGCTGAAACAAAATCTCCACACAACGGTTTTACCTAAACCACAGCTGAAACCCAAGTTCACAATTAAAGTCTATTAAGAGGAGAGGTGTCAGGTTCAGGGACGACAATCAATAAAACTAACGTATAGTACAGTAGGCCAAAGTACCACATTCGTCTGCTACCAAGGTATGGTCCAGTATGATTCCTGTATGACGGGAGAAGTTTGGGCAACTGAACAGTAAAATTTAAGCCACTGTGCATGTTTATGGTTATTCTATCCTTGGATCTGACAGGGAAATGGCATTAAGCAAACAAACAACTATTGACTGAAAAGGGAAATGAAATTTAGGAGCTATTAGCCTTAATCTTTAAGAAAACAAGATATAGGAAACACTGGGAAGCAACAAATGCTTTGACATACATTAAATAAGCCAAAATAAAATTTACTTAGTTTTCCATAATTCACCATTATGCTTGTGCTTGGCTTTTCATTTCTTTCTGTACCCAACTGACTGCTCTTTATGGTTCTTTTGTTTTCTCCTTTTTATGCCATACTGGGAAAGGCCCACGACAGCTGTTGTATCTGAGTAGACACTCTACAGATGATGAAAATGCCTGGTACAGCTATGAGACAGCACCATGTTCCACTCCATCCAGCCCTGCTCAAACCTCAGTAAACACATAGAAACTCTGAGACTAGGAGAAACCTCCATGAGGAACAGACTCCAAACAGGCTGAAGAACTAACTGCTCTGGACATTCACACACCTACAACAACAGAGGAAAACCACAGCGAGACTACTACACTGCTAGCTAGGAAGGACAGCTTACTCCATCTCCTTTTAGAACATGCATCGCTGACCACACTAGAGGAATAATCATAGGACTAGACAGCTTCACTGTAGAATTTAACAAGACATTTACAGAACCAAGAGCAATGTTCTTCAAACTATTCCATAAAACAGGAAAAAAAAAAAAAAAGACTGTTTCTAAACTCACTCTATAAAGCCAGTATTATCTTGATAACATAAAGACATAACAAAAAGAACAGAGACATATATCCTAGATGAATATACATGTAAGAATCCTTAATAAAAGTCTTGCAAACATTACACTGAGAGACTATATACCATGAGCATGTTGGTTTCATTCCGAGGATATAAGGATGTATCAACACATGCAAATTAATAAATATAATACAACATATAAATAACATCAAGGGGGCAAAAATCACAGGATCATAACAGATACAGAAAAGGTATCTGAGAAAATTCAACACACCTCATAAAAAAAGCCCTAAAGAAATCAGGAACAGAAGAATCATGCCTGAAAATAATAAAGTATGTGTATAACAAACTGATAGCAGATATCATGCTGAATGGGGGAAAATTGAAGGCATCTCTTCTAGAATCGCCATTCTTTTTTTTTTTTTTTTTTTTGGTTTTTCGAGACAGGGTTTCTCTGTGTAGCTTTGCTCCTTTCCTGGAACTCACTTGGTAGCCCAGGCTGGCCTCGAACTCACAGAGATCCGCCTGGCTCTGCCTCCCGAGTGCTGGGATTAAAGGCGTGCGCCACCACCGCCCGGCTAGAATCGCCATTCTTATTTAGTGCAGTATTTTACATTTTCACCAAGTAACGGGTGGTGGGGGGTTATAAGTAGAGAAGCCATCATAAAGAAATTAACATCAGGAGCTAGGAGATGGCTCAGCCAGTAAGAGGCTTGTCATATAAACACAAGGACCTGAGTTTGATCCCAACACCCGCATAAATCAGCCAGATGCAGCTATGCAGAAGCAATCCCAGCACTGGGGAGAGAGATTGACAACATTCAATGTCAACCTCTGTCTCCACATACATATGCATAAATATGCAAAAACACATGCATGGGAGCACAAACACAAACATGAGGACACACAGGGACGTGTGTGTGTGTGTGTGTGTGTAAAATACACACATACAAGATTAAAATCACATGACTGTAACCATCATTCCCACGACTCTTCCTAAAACTAGAATTTCTACAGTTAGACAAACAGGAATGGCAATATGGCCGTGGGCCACAGTGAACCTGCTGAAATTCTGTCCCTATTGCATAAAACAGTATGGTAGGAAAGATGTCTATACCTTCATCTTCTGAGCTTCTAAAGAAGGACCTCTGCTAACTTGAACCTCAGCCACATTGGTCATACTAAGTTCTGTCATGACGTTTGTCTATCACTTGAATCTTTGTTTTCCTCCTAAACATCCCATACATTATCTTTATTTAAATGATCTTTTTTTCCCCATGTGTTCTTTCCCCATCGTGCATGGTCTCTTTCTCACAGACAGCATAGTAATAAGGACCCTGAAACTCGGGCCTATTGAACGTGGCCTTTAAGTGTCAGGACATCTCACCCTGGGGTGAAGCGCGTTTTGCTGGAAATTAAAGGGGCTTTTCTAAACAATTTCCCTTAGTGTATTATTAGCAAGAAAATAATTTATGTACAAAATTGCCCCTTTAACAAACAAACATAGGCATGCTTGTTACTCTGAAACAGGAAAACTAATGCCTAAAAGGCTGTATCGTATTCAAGCCTACTTATGTAGGACAGGATAGTATTTGTGAGAAGGGGAACAGATTAGAAAATAAAATCCTATACCTTGAAAGAAAACTTTTCCAAAGATACTCTAATAGTATTCTCAAAGTTGTTATAAATATATATCTAACACTTAGTTTCAAGTAAAATATTCAATTCTTATTAATACCAATTTTTGAAAATAGTCAAGATTTAGTATCATATCATATTTTTCTAATTACTTATAAAATAATATGAATCTACAAAAGAAATATTTTTATTCCTGAAGTACTGAGTCAGCACAACAAAGTAACAAAATGGTGTAAATACTCTCAGAAAAGTAAAATGCTGCTTGAGCACATCCTGGCATGGTCAGAGTAAAGTTTTATAGAGTGGAATTATGTGAAGGACACGTCTCTTAGGGTGTCTACGGTCAGCTGTGCAGCAGCCTGCTCTCTCAGTGTTGACGTTCAGATAGTATGCAGTCAACGCTGTCCTCTTTGCTATTTGGTTTAATAAATAACATTTAACCTTTACCATACATGGAAAGAGAAGCGTGTCCACTCTCATGAAGTATTATAAATGTAGGCCAATGATGAATTTTGGCATGTACTGCCTGAATTTACTGCTGAACTCCACGCACACTTTAGCTCTAGAATTCTGCTGGGCCACTGCTAGCGTGACTCACCTGTCTGAACATCAATAACCATCTGATGGCCCCCTCTCATTCCTGGTCGGTTATCTTCTCCATCACCTGAAGAAGAAAAAGTATTTTCTATAAAGATATAATAAAACTTACAATTCTAGAGGAGTAACCTCACTTGTAAGTCTATAAAGAATAGTAACAAATACTCCACACGTACTCCTTCAAAATATTATAATTAGTGAAAGGAAGAATAAAGGAAGAAATACCTCTGTTTCAAATACTGAAAAAGTTACAGGATTCTAGAAAATGGTGTGTGTGCATGTGTGCTAAGGAACAAACCCCACAAGTGATAAGGTCCCCACAAGTGACAAGCAAGTATTCAACCACTGAGTTATGCTCTCAGCCCTAAGATTACAGGATTCCAATATCACATTTGATATAAACCAGGAAGCCTAAGGTTTTCATCATAAATCTCCCATTAGTAGAAATAAATTAGTTTGGCAAATGAACTTTCCTGATTTTTGTATGTAAAACTTATCATCTAACTGTGCACAGGAGTTTTACAGGAGTATTACAAATAACTGAAATATCAGTTTTTTATACAGTCATGAGTTACTTACTGATGAGGAATAGCTTCTGAGAAATGCATTGTTAGGCGATTCTGTCTTTGTGTAAACACCAGAGAGTGTATTTACAGAAATCGACATGGGACTGCCTATTGCCCGCCGAGCCATACGGCAAAACATGTTACTACTAAGTACTTCAGCCAGCTACAATGTTTCTATTTTTCAGAATAGCTAATCACAGAAAAAGGTTCAGTATGAACACTAGATAGGAATGTTGCGGCTCAATTAAAAGCTCATGGGATCATCATTATGAAGCACATGATTATACACAGAAACAGGGCACAGAGCCAAACCACTGTACTCGACAAGTCTTTTTCCTTCCTCACAGCTAGATGCCCATCAGCTCCTGCTGACCATCACCACTGAGGGCTTGCCCTTCTCTCCTGTCAGTCTGTACTGCTTTTTTCAAGAATAAATTAGCACAACACTAAAATATTAATTTCTACCATGTGTTTTGTGTATTTAATCTATTTTCAAATACATGTGTCTTTGAAGAAGTCACCATACACAGAACTAGGAAAGTGGGAGTATGTTCACACAACAGAGCTTATATAAGTTCAGGAGGAATTTTTGGCACATATTAATGAGTAATGCTATGGAAACTTTCTCACAAGTGAAGAGAAAGCCTTGGAGACATATGAAGACCACAAAAACCAACTGAATACCTCGAGAACCATCTTTCTTCAATGTAAACACGTGCAGTAAAACCACGTTTCCATCTGGCAAAAGTGAATGCATACAATAAAGTGACAAAAATCTGTTCACAAAATAATAATGTGTTAATGAAGAAGACTAAATTCTGAATCAGATTTTGAGTTTTGAAAACAAACAAACAAGTCCCTATTAGAAATAAATGCTCCCTAGGGTCTGTGTCTCCAAGAAAGAAGCATTAGATGTGGTCACTGAGGCACTCTGATATTCAAATGAAGTGCCTTTTGGCTTCAACTGTACTGTGTTTTAATAGAATTGACATAGCGATTCTATTAAAGTTCATCACCTGTCCCTCTTGTTCTCAAAGGTCCTGCTATGTTTAGTAGCGATTTTGTAGAACTTGGTTTTCCAGGAACACATATGGTGGCACCACAGCGTGCCTATTATTTTACACACCTCTATGAAAGCAGTTTGTAACAGCATTCTAAGAACAAACAACCTTGCACAACATTTTATCACAGTGATGAAACAAGAATTTAAAAGATAATCTAAATACAATAAACTAGGGCTGGGACTATAGCTCACTGGTAAGAGTGCTTACCTAGCATGTACAAGGCCAAGTTCAATCCCTAGCCTCAGGGAAAAAAAATTATGATAATAATCCTCTCTGCTACCTAGATAAGGAACCTATGTTCTCTCTCAAATACCTGCTCTTTATTAACAGAGTAGGAGGATGCTTGGGCCATCTAATGAAAACAGACTGTAAAGAAGAAACAGAACAAGCCAGACAGTGCAACTCACCTTTGGTGCTCTTAGGAATGATCTGACTCCACCGCGGCTTATACTCCTGCTGACTGATATACTGATTGAACAAGCCATCTGCAAGTATAAAAAAGAAGAGTTATATCTTAGCTGGCTCTTCAACCTCCCAGTATGATACCCAAATATAAATAGTCAACTGCCAGGAGATGGTGGCATATGCCTTTAATCCCAGCACTTGGGAGGCAGAACCAGGTGGATCTCTATGGGTTCGAGGTCAGCCTGGTCTACAGAGCTAGTTCCAGGAAAGGGACAAAGCTACACAGAGAAACTCTGTCTCAAAAAACCAAAAAAAAAAAAAAAAAAAAAAAAGTAAATTATTAGTTGACACAACAGAAACATTGCATTAGCAGCAGCCCATATTAAACTTAGATTCCCACGATGACTACATGAGTCACTATAAAGTTACTACTGCGCTCATGAAGAAATATGTAACCTCAACAAAGACCCCGAAAGAAGGAAAGCTCTGAGAGAAAAAAGTTAAGATGACAATTTAAGGCTGGAAACCAGAAGCAGCAGCAAATAGTTAATAAATAATCTGAATATACGTTTTATTTCACTGAAGCATGGCCATGTGCACCTTAAAAATCATTTTTTGCATCAATATAAATACAAATGGGAAAAGAAAGAATAATCGAAGCCGGGAAGAATATTTGCTTTCTGGTGATTTCTCACCACTATTCTCTATTTTATTTACTACTTTTAAAATCTTTATCCCTTATAATAAATAGATTCTTGAATTCCAATGTCTTCCCCATGAAGAGCCCTTAAGAGTTCATAGATTTTGTTACCAGATTACAAAAAACAAAACAAAACAAAAACAGCCTAAATAAGGACATGACCACCAACAGCTTTGGTATAGGCACTTTATATTACAACCTCAGAGAAAGAGAAAACTCTTTAAAATGCAAATTCCTGCTTTCTTTGGGTACAAAGTGACAGATAAAAGTACTGCCAGCAGCAACAGAACTGTACTTATTGATGCTGCCAAATGTTAAAATCTGTTTTAGTTCGTTTAAGTCTAAAACAACCCTAAGAGGATTTGGAGCTCCTCTTCTAAGATGGGGAAGTACATATTTAGAGAATTAGGGAACTTTATCAAACGCACACATATCTTAGGTAATGGAGCTGGGACTCGGATCCCACTTTGCTTTTCCTCTCAGTAAACTTTTCATCTACTTCTGGAGGAGTTATTACATTAGTTACTATAATTATATGGAGAGTGCACTTCCCCCACACATCTACTCTACTCCAAATGATTATCACACCCTACACCCATGTCTGTCACTAGTTTACGAACGATGTATAGAATCAAATTCTAGATAACAAAACGGAAGAATCTGCCGGGCGGTGGTGGCGCACGCCTTTAATCCTAGCACTCGGGAGGTAGAGGCAGGTGGATCTCTGTGAGTTCGAGGCCAGCCTGGGCTACCAAGCAAGTTCCAGGAAAGGCGCAAAGCTACACAGAGAAACCCTGTCTTGAAAAACCAAAAAAAAAAAAAAAAAAGGAAGAATCTTCTAGAGACTTGTAAGCAATGTTTCATCACTTCTAAACAGACAATACAAGAAAAGAAGAGGCTTTTATCTTCTGGACACATTTTCATATACATATGCAGCATATAACGTGTACAACTACTAACTCCTATTTGTAGAGCTAGGGAAAGAGTCAAGTCTACAGCAATGACAGCAAAGAAAGCTAAAGAAACTAGATGACTGGGTCAAGCAGCCAGGAAAGCCACCTCAGCCCTGAACTTCTCATGAAGACATGTAGTAGTGACATTCTCCTTACCAAGCTAGAGTTTTCTTTTACATGTATCCAAATAGATACCTGACAATGTGCTCATTCTCTCACAAATTCTGTCCTTTGATCCTGATTTCTATCTGAATGAGGATTTTCCTGTTTCGCTGGAAACAAAGACGTGTTCAAAATGCTGTAAAATGTCTCTTTTCTGTAACTTGCATACTTGGAATCTAAACAACCTTCCTAATCTCTTTCTTTTCTGGGTTAATCAAGAAGCTGTTGTAAACAACCCTATATAATCATTGAATTTCTTCCTCTTTGCCTTTGTAACCTTATAAAATTAGTGGAAAAAGAAAGTTCCTTTATAAATCAGCACCCAAGCTGGATGTGGTGGTTATAAGTTAATCCTTGCACTCTGGAGGCCTTAAGAACGAGGCCAGCGGGGGCTATGTAGCAAGTTGCAGGCCTTTCTGGGCTACAGTTCAAGATTCTGTCTCACCTCCAAGTCCTTACACACCTAGAAGTCGGCACTTACATTTTCATTGTTATAGGAAGGAGAAGTATAAGCATGTGGTGGTATTGTGTTCCCCAAAATATTGTGCACCCTAATAAACTTATCTGGGGTCAGAGACAGGACAGCCACAATATTAAACATAGAGGTTAGACAGTGGTAGCATATGCCTTTAATCCTAGCATTCCAGAGGCAGAAATCCATGTGTTCAAGGATACAGCCAAGCATGGTGACTCATCATGCCTTTAATCCCAGAAAGCAAGCCTTTAATCCCAGGGAGCGGTGGTAAAAAGCAGAAAGGTATATAAGGCTTGAGGACCAGAAACTAGAAGCTTTTGGCCTGGTTAAGCTTTTAGCTGGTTAAGCTTCAGGTTTTGAGCAGCACAGTTCAGCTGAGAGCCATTTGGATGAGGACACAGAGGCTTTCAGTCTGAGGAAACAAGATCAGTTGAAAAGTTGGCCAGGTGAGGTTAGCTGTGGCTTGTTCTGTCTCTCTGATCTTCCAGTGTTCACCCCAATAACTGGCCTCAGGTTTGATTTTATTAATAAAACTCTTTAGATTCATGCTACATATGCAGTACAATTTAATTTAATAATGTGTCTATTACATAATTCCATAATTTTGGAGTCTTGCTTTATTCAGCCTTCCTGACCAAAACCTCCAATATTATAGGATTTGGGAATTTTTTCTCCCCTTCCAGATAGTGTTGGGCTCCTGTTCACTGTAGTAATGATGATAGAAAAATAAAACAACAACAACAAAAAAATTAACCATAAGTCTTTGAAAGGGAGACACAGAAGTTCTAAAACCTTTAAAAACTTAAAAAGAATGTAAAATTATTCATTCAGAACTAGATTAGCCTGTGGAGCTGGCTCAGTGGGTAGAGTACTTGCCCTAGAGCGTGAGGACAAAGCTTGAGTCACCAGAACCCACGTAAAGCCGGAGCAGTGAGGCCCACCTGTAATCTCAGTGCTCCTCCAGAGAGGGTGGGGACACAGAGTCTCTGTGGCTTGTGGGCCAGTGGTGCTGGTGGGCTCACTGGTGAAGACTAAGAAGGTTCGGTCGCAAACAAGGTGGAAGGGAAAACTGACGCTGAATTATTAATTCTACTTAACAGGAGAGCCTAGGGAGGATGACGTAACTATATACAGAAAACTGAAGGTGGAAAAAGACAAAGTAAAAAGCCAAAAGAACTACAACAGGAACATAGTAAATTTTACTTGCTGTTTGTTTTTTGAGACACGATCTCACTATGTAGACTTGGCTGGCCCAGAACTGACAGAGATCAACCTGCCTCTGCCTCCTGGGTGCTGAGATTAAAAGTGTGTACCACCATGTCTTTTCCCATTCTCTGTAATTTTTTTAACATTAGCATATATTTTCTTTCCCTGTCCCCCTCTCCTCCTTTCATCTTCCCCTCATGGACAGAATTTCACGTGTCCCTGTCTGGTCTCAAACTCACTATTTAGCGGAGTATGACCCTGAGCTTCTCATCCTCTGCCTGCGAAGGACTATGATATTACACGTGCCTTCCTCAGTGTATCTATCGAGTGCTGGGATAAACCAGGGCTTGAGCACGGTAGGCAAGCACTTGCCAGCTGATCTACCTCTCCGGACTGGAGAAAAAATTTCAATGAGGAATTTAAAGATGCTTATTTAAAAAATCACATCAGTTTTAGGAGGAAGTCAAACAGTTACTAATATTTTAGTAAGTCTATTTCCGGACAAAAACCTGAAACAGGAAACCAGAAGTCCAACAAAAGCAGAATATCTTAAAGAAATTAAAATATCACTCAGAAAAAAGCACACTAATAAGTTGCTAATAATTTTCAAACTATTTAACTTATGTCCTCAGCTTCAACACATTTCATTTGTTCTGTGACTATGACTATATTAAATAAACACACTTAATAAAGTCTTCACTGGGCACACAGAATTTTTTTTCAACAGCAGAAATGCTTTAAAAATACATAGTTAAAAATGAGACTCAGGAAGCTTTTTTATTAAAAGAAAAATGTTTAAACATCACCAATGATCAAAACAAATCCTAGAACATCATTATACCAATACTACCTATTCTCAAATTTGGTTTCTCATCCAAATAGATTACATTCCAAGAAATACTCAAGTATCTAGCTTATAGAGCATATAGTCCTTTTGGGTCATTCAAAACCATTTTACAAAATTATTCATTTTGGCAGTCTAATAATGGTGGCACTATTAAGGAATGTGCTAGCTAGTTTTATGTCAATGTGAAACAAGAGTCATTTGGGAAGAGGGACTCTCAACTGAAAAAATGCCTCCCTGAGGTTGGCCTGTAGGCAAGTATGTAGTGCATTTTCTCAACTAATGCCTGATGGGGGAGGGTCCAGACCATTGTAGGTGGTGCCACCCCTGGACTGGTGGTCCTGGGTGCCATAATTTTGAAAACAGGCTGAGCAAGTCATGAGTAAGTAAGCCAGTAAATAGCATTCTTCTATGCCCTTCTGCTTCAACTCCTGCCTCCAGACTCCTGCTTTGAGTCCCTGCCCAGACTTCCTCTGATGATGGACTGTTACCTGGAAGTGTAGGGTGAAATAAACCCTTTCCTCCCTGTGATGGCTATTTTTGATTGTCAACTTAACTACATACAGAATTAACTAAAACCCAAATGACTAGGCACACTTGTGAGGGATTTTTTTTTTCCTTAATTAAATAATTTGAAGTGGGAAGGCTTACTTCTAATCTGGGTCTTTCAGGTGGGAAGATAAACTTTTAATCCAGATCTTTTTCGGTGTGAAGATCTACTTTAACCTGAACCACACCTT